CACTGCTGCAGTTATCTCCTGCCTGACAGTGTCATCATAGTTCTGATTTTGTGGTGTATGTGATCAGGTACTGTAGGTTAACCACTGAACATCAATGAAGTGATGGGGTATGGTTTGCTCCTACCAACATTGTTGGAATGTATTTCTTCTCCCACTGAAAATAATTATGGGGTTTATTTTTGCTCCCACTTACAAAAATGAATTTATATTTTCTGCTACTGACACCAAAAAAAGGACTTACTTTTTCTCCCACTCACACCAATGACGGGGATTATTTATGCTTCAATGACAACAACGATAGGGTTTATTTTTGTTTCACGGTCAGCAATCACAGAGTTTGTTTCTTCTCCCACTGACACCATTGATGGGGTTTATTTCTTCTCCCACTGATACAGCAATGGGGTTTATTTCCTCTCCCGCTGACACCAACTATGGGGTTTATTTTTCCTTAACTGACACCAACAATGGGGCTTATATCTTCTCCCACTGACACCAACAATGAGGTTTATTTTTTTCTCCCACTGACACCAACAATGAGGTTTATTTTTTCTCCCACTGACACCAACAATGAGGTTTATTTTTTTCTCCCACTGACACCAACAATGAGGTTTATTTTTTCTCCCACTGACACCAACAATGAGGTTTATTTTTTCTCCCACTGACACCACCAATAGAGTTTATTTTTTTCTCCCACTGACACCAAGAATGGGGTTTATATCTTCTCCCACTGACACCACCAATAGTTTATTTTTTCTCCCACTGACACCAAAAATGGGGTTTATTTTTTCTCCCACTGACTCCAATAATGGGGTTTATTTTTTCTCCCACTGACACCAACAATGGGGTTTATTTCTTTTCCCACTCGCTGATTTTTATATGGTGCTGGGTCGCAAATTATAAGCAATTATGGGAGGTCTAAAACTCTAACAACAAATTCATATGTGCTTCCAAATTGTATACGTAGTTACATAGTTAGTCTGGCTGCAAAAAGAAAAAAGTCCTTCCAGTTCAACCGTTAAAAAAAAAAAAAAGTGATAATCCTACACCGACAGTTGATCCAGAGGAAGACAAAACACCCAGCAAAGCATGATCCAATTTGCTCCTGCAGGGAAAAAAATTCCTTCCTGATCCCCTGAGAGGCAATGGGATATTCCCAGGACCAATGCAGGGGGTTATTAATGCATCCACTGATACCTGTGCTGAATGTTTTTATGGCATCCATGGACACCAATGCTGGAGGTTATTATTGCATGTACTGACACCTGTGCTGGGGGCAATTATTGTGTCCACTGACTTCTGTGCTGAGGGTTATTATTGTGGCACTGGTTAACCTTGTCCCGTCACTGTTGCCAATACCAACCGTTATCACAGTGAAAAAGTGAAAGTGAAAAAACATCCCAAATTCTGAGTTGTCAGTGGAGCAGGAATCAAGAGGAAATCTTAGTTCTGACATGTACCAGGGAGTCTTCTCACTTATGAGGGATTTCCTCTCACTTCCTGTTGTGGCTATGGGACAGAAAGTGAAGGGAAATCTCCCCAATGAGACACAGAAGGCTACAAAATACTGAGAGATGTTATAGCCCTCCCTTACTCTATCCAAATAAAAGTTTTAGCTTTAGTAGTACTTTAAAGGCTAATTCCACCTTTCTGACCATGTTTCATATTACACCTACAGTACATGCATTCAGCAGCCCCCTACCCTCAAACCATCCCCCTGAATTGCAAGTGCTTTTTATATTTTTTTACATTTGGCAGAGCTATGCAGGTAAAATTAAAAAAAGGTAATTAATTTACAAATCTATTCACACAGATCCATGATTGGGAGACTACAAGACACATCTGCCACTGCAGCAGACAGGCTTGTAGTTCTCAAAGGAGCATGAGTACAGTGATGTCGCTGCACTTAGTCCATGGATTAAATCCTCCAGCTCCATAACCAAATCTCTATACCTCAACACAGACCTACGGCTGCAGGATTAGTCTGCAGTAAAATGTAAATTTCACTTGTAATGTACTGATCATGATTGCAATTCTTTGCAGGCTCCAATGCTAGAAAAAAATATTTTTTTTTCCTTTTTGCAATACCTTTACATTAATTTTTTACAAATGGTGGAATAAGGTTTTTCTGCCACCTACATATGTAGTATGTCGATGAATGCAGGAGGATTACACACACCCCCGATGGCTGCAGCTCTGGGAGTGTGTGTAAATCTGGCAAGCCAAATGTCAGCTGTCAGATGGAAGTGATCTGGTGGCTGTGCAGCCACTGGATTGCTATGACACATCCCAGGAACTGCTGGAAAGGTTTGACATGTTGAATATCTATTTACTCTGTGCAACCTCACTTTTTATATTTTACAGAAAAACTGGGAAATATATTGCATTTGTGGGTCTTAAAATTAAAGTGGGATTCCAGTCAAATTCTAACTAAGCCTAAATCTACTCCCACCCCATTCTAAATCTATTCTATCTCTCCTGTAAAAGAAAAGATATCTATACTTACCTATTCTGAAGCTGCTCTGATCCAGTCACATGATCAGGTCCCAGCGATGGCTTCAGTGTAGAGGAGAGGGATAGACAATGGCTGCAAAGCCTCGGCGATGATGTCACCCATAGACTTTCTATGATGCATCTGTTGTTTGCTGTCCCTCCTCTACACTGAAGCTCAGCTGGTGCTGGGACCCAATCATGTGACCAGACTGGAGCAGCTTCAGAATAGATAAGCATGTTTTCTTTTAAAGGGTAGATGGAATAGTCTTAGAATGAGGGTGGGAATAGGCCTAGGCTTAGTTATAATTTGACTAGAATTACACTTTAACTTTAATAGTCTATGTTTTTCTTACATTTTGTTTCATAAACCATGGTGTGCCTATCATGTGACTGGCACTGATGGGTGGCACTGACTGCCGCTACTGCTGGACACTGACTGGCAGCACTGCTGGGCAAAGTTGGGTGGCACTACTAGGCACTGCTGGGCACAGGTGGGTGGCACTGCTGGGCACTTGTAGGCTGCACTGCTGGGCACAGGTGGGTGGCACTGGTGGGTGGCACTGCTGGGCACTGATCATCAGCCTTGATGATCAGTGCCGATCCATCCTCTGACAATTGCTGGTTATCGGCAATACTTTCCTCACGCTGTCACAGCATGAGGAACGTGAAGCCGATAACTGGCAACTGCATTTACCTGTGATCTGTTGTGTCATTGGACACAGCTAATCACGTGGTAAAAGGTCGTTGTGATTGGCCTTTTACCACATCATGTGATCAGCTGTGTCCGTAGAAAACAGCGATCACGGAGATCGCCAGGGGCGCGCAGGAGGGCGTGTTCTGGGAAGACGTCATATTACGCCCTCCCAGAACTGGACAACTGTGCTGTAACTGTCATTCGGCTGTAGCGCAGTTGGCAAGTAGTTAAAGCGTCCAGCTGCATGGATCTCACTTCCCTGTACACCTGCATACAGGGGTTGGACAAAAATATGGAAACACTACATGATTTTCAGGTGTGAGAGTGACAACATGGACATCACATTGAAGGCGGAAGTGACGTGACATTCTTTTGCTTCTGCTGTGTGATGAGACACCTAGCTAACTGGTGGGAAGCCTCACTTTCATCATTCACTGCGTACGCTGCTAGTAATACGGAGTCATATCAGAGCTTACTGAGTTTCAAAGAGGGCAAATTGTTGGTGCCCGCTTAGCTGATGCCTCTGTGACTGTATTTGCCAATTTATTTGCCATGACGTGAGGTACAGTATCAAAGGTTATGATGGCATATACAGTTTCGGGGAAATGTTGTCTGATGAGCATAAGCGAGGTCAACTGACCAAAAGAGACAAAAGAACATTGCGCAGGATTGTGACCTGGAATAAGAAAACAAGTGCTGCAAAAAGTGACTGCAGAGCTCAATCTCAGTCTTCCAAAACCCATGTCCGCAAAAACTGTGCAGAGAGAACTCCATAAGGAAAACATTCATGGGAGAGCTGCAATTGCCAAAACCACTAGTGACCAATATTAATGCTCAGAAGAGGAAAGAGTGGTGCAACAACCATCAATCGTGGACTATCGATCAATGGAAGAGTGTAATATGGTCCAAGAAATTGAGCTTCACATTTCTCCCAACCATGGTGAACACATCCCAAGCTTATGTCTAGGACTGTCTTATGCCAACAGTAAAGCACGATGGAGGCACAATCATGGTTTGGGCAGCCATATCTTGGTATTCCTTGAACCCCATCATCACCTTGGAAGGTAGAGTCTCTGCCAGCGACTATGTACAAATTTTGCCCAACCATGTTCACCCCATGGTGCAGACAATGATTCCTGAAGGAAGCCCCATTTACTAAGACGATAATGCTCCGATTCACACGGTGCTGTCAAATCGTGAATAACCAGCATGCAGACAAAGTCTTGTACCTTCCCTGGGCACCGCAGTTGCTGGACCTCAGTATCATAGAGCCACTATGGTCAATTCTGGAGAACAAGGGACGGACTCGTTTTCTGCCTCCGGCATCTCTGCGAGGACTGGAATGATTTATGCATGAAGAGTGGTATCAGATTCCATTATCCAACATCCAAGACTTTTAGTTGTCAATTCCCAGGAGAATTCAGGCCGTCTTGGATGCCAAAGGCGGTCCAACACCATATTAGGTGACAATTTCATTCTTTTCCCTGGTGTTTCCACAATTGTGTCCAACCCCCATACATCACCATCTTCACAACTACAAGAGGTGACAGAACAGGAATTCCCCACCCACCAGAGCTTAGCCCCGCCCCAAAACCTGAAACACCACGCCCGGACTCAGCCTAGCTCCGACCCAGAACTTTAAACAGCCCGCCCTCTCCGGCCTAGCCCCGCCCTATGGCGTTGACCCAGCACACACCCGGACTGGGGATTCCAGAGTGCGTGTGATAGCTCCGCCCCGGATACGTCTGACGGGGACCCGGTGGACGGAGATCGGTATGAGGGAAGCCCGGATGTTCGGGAAGGCGACTACACGGTCATGAAGAGCCCAGGGAATGGAGGAAGTGACGGTGGCCAGGCCGGCCCAGGCTGTGCATCTTCAGCGGACATCACAGACAACAGTCAGTAATGAGTGCACTGTGCCTCCATTATCCGGGCTGTGTGTTGTGACAGTCCCAGTCAGGACATCATGTCTTCCCATAGCAGCCGCTTCATGTCCTGTACTGTCCTCTGTGGACAGCATGGGCCGCCTCTACCCCTGTCATCTCACTCCTGGAATATTCTCTCTGGAATCACCCTATGATCTTTAAACTGCAAATCTGGAGCAGCTCTGCAACCAATCACCTTCCAGCTTTCATCTTTAAAGCTCAACTGAACAAGCTGAAGATCGCAGCTGATTGGTTGCTAGGCGCAGCTGCTCCAGATTTTTAACCCCCCCCAGGATCTCAATATTTATAATTGTATATCTGATATTTGGGGAGAAGTCCAGGGACTCATGGTGATTTTGCTTTGCAACTTTGTTGTGTCTCCATGAATAAACGTGATTGTGACAACAAAAACCTAAACTGAATACCATTTTTAGGCTTCATTCACACCACTGTAAAAATGTTACTGATGTTATTACACTTGTGTTCTCTTGGAGAGAAGTTCCTGAGTAATGATTAGTAAAATATTTGTGTATAGATGCGTTTACAGACACGTATGTAATCAGAATTTAGTTTCCTCCTTTTGTTTAGAAAGAGCGATTTTTTTTTTTTTTTTTTTTTTTTTTTTTTTTTTTTTTTTTTTTCTTCCTATCGATGGAGCGTTTTTTTTCTTCCCATCGATGGAGCGATTTTTTTTCCCTGTGATCACAGGTTTCATGAAAAAAAAAAAAAAAACCCAATTCACCCATCAATAGTCAGTATTGTTGGGGGAATCCTTCCCACAGAGTCTCCTGTCCAGGAGCGGACTGACCATTTGGAAACTCGGGCACTGCCCGGGGTCAGTAGGGGGCCCCATGAGATGCCCCTGGTACCTTTATCATAGGCTTTTTTGAGTTTGGGCAAGGACATGGGCCCCATGAGTTGTCAGTCCGCCCCTGCTCCCATCCCCACCAGGCGAACACAGTGATTACTGGTAGCAGCTATAATAGCCACTAGCGATAATCACATGTAAAATCTGACGGGCTGGTTGTACCCAAGCTGATCGATCAATCCACTTGGGTACATTCAGCCTGCCCATACATAGTTTGAGTCTTTCAATTCAAACTGTCTATAGCTGGCTTTAAAGTGGTACTTACACCTTCGTGCATTCTATGCATAAAGGTAAAAAAAAACACCTCTGTGCAGCATCCCCCCTCAGCGATGGAGTGATTTTTCTTTCCTGTGACCACAGGTTTAAGGAGAGAAAATCGCTCATTTCCCCCATCAACACAGTATTGATGGGGGAATCCTTCCCACAGAGCCATTGTGTTCTCCTGTCCCTACCGGGTGAACACAGTGATTACTGGTAGCAGCTATAATAGCCACTAGCAATAACCGCATGTAAAATCCAACAGGCCGGTTGTACACAAACTGATCAATCAACTTGGGTACATTCAGCTTGCTTATACATGGTTCAAATCTATCGATTCAAACTGTCTATAGCTGGCTTTAAAGTGGTTCTAAAGGCTCAAGGTTTTTTACCTTCATGCATTCTATGCTTCAAAGTAAAATACCTTCTCTGTGCAGTATCCCCCCAGGCCCCCCTAATACTCACCTAAGCCCCCCTCTCGATGCAGGGATGTGCACTGGAGTCTCGGCTATCCTTGAACTTCTTCTCCTCATTGGCTGAGACAGAAGCGGGAACCATTGGCTCCCACTGCTGTCAATCAGCCAGTGAGCCAATTTTAAGAGAGGCAGGGCCGAGCCGCAACTCCGTGTGTGAATAGACACGTGGAGCAGCGGGTGCCCCCATAGCAAGCTGCTTCCTATGGGGGCACCTGATAGGAGGGAGGGGCCAGGAGCGCCAGTGGGGCACTGGAGAAGAGGAGGATCTAGGCTGATCTGTTCAAAACCACTGCACACAGCAGTTAAGTATTGACATGTTTGCTATTTGTAATTTTTTTAAGCCTTTAGAATCGCTTTAAGCTGCTTTCACACTGATCCATTTTTTTTCTACCGCTTTTGCGCTAAAAGCGGAAGAAAAACTTGTGACCATGTATTCCTATGGAACGCTTCACACTGATCTGTTTCAGGTACGGTGTGTTTTTTCAAAGTACTGCTTGCTGCATTTTTGGCACAGGTTTGGTGCCATAAAAACGCACCTCGCATTGAAATCAATGGAAAGTATTTAACAAACACTTCAGAAACACAACTGCGTTGTGTGTTTTGAGTCACATATCCTTTCAAAAATGCATTTTTACCATGGATCAGTGGCAGATTTGTGGATTGTGTTACGGATCTGAAGGCAGTGCATGTTTATACACCTCTGTGAATGACTCCAAAACTATGCCGCTGCGTTCAGATCCATAAATAAAAAAACACGTATATGCGTTTTTTGTTTTTATTTGGGGGTGGGGGGGGGGTTTATATGGCTTTCTGAAGTCTTAAAGTATATGTATACCCTCACCTCTTAAAACAACCCATTCAGTTTAAAATAGAAATAAAAGCTAAAACATTTTTGTATAGATATAAAAAGGTGGGGGGGGGGGGGGGATATTTATAACATGTTGTGTTTTTTTTTTTTTTTTTCTCCTCTGTTCTCAGCTGCGTAAGTGCTAGGGTAGGAGAAACAGTAGAACACAGATCTTTCCAGTGGATTATTGTGCAGACTGTGTTTCAGGACAAGTCTGATCATTGGAGGAGAGCAAGCTGAGTTACCAACACAGCTAGAGAACTGACCACAGCGTGTTGTGCCTAATGTGGTCAGTTTTAGTAGGAAAGCAGAGGGACTGGCAGGATCACCAAAGATTTCATGCAAAGGAAGTAAGACACACCGAACAGGATATGTTTTCATACAAATACGTGGTACAGTAGGCACATACCAGGAATATGAAGTGTTGGGTTTACATATTCCTTTAAAGCGGAAGCTCCACTTTTCTTTGCCCCCCTCCGCTGCCATGTTTGGCATCTTTTGAGTGGAGAAGGGAGCAGGTACCTGGTTTTGACAGGTACCCTTTCCCACTTCTGGCTCAGTTCACTATATAACTGGCTTCAGTTATATATAACAGACTAGCTCTATAATGCCTCATGAACACAGCCATAAACATGTTACTGGGCAATAAGGCAAGGAACACAAGAGCCTGCGTAATGATCGGTAGATAGATAAGCTTTTTTAATGCATAACAATTGTCCTGTTCCCCCACCACCACCACCCTTTTTTTTTTTTTTTTTTTTTTTTTAATGTGTATATGCATGTTCTCAGACAAAGGTTTTTGGATTTTGTGTTACAGGTCTGGATGCAGTGCATTTTTACGCACATGTGTGAATGCCTCCATTGAAAACCGTGCAGCTGCAGTCAGATTCATAAATTTAAAAATAAGTTGTAAATGCATTTTTTCCAGCCATGTGAATGGGGCCTAAGACGGGTCATTGTACAAAATAAAAAAAAAAAATTAAGTTCTGTTTTCTTGTAGGTGACTATGTCCAGCTGAAGGTTCCTCTCATCCAGCAGTCCTATCATTGGGATTGTGGCTTGGCGTGTGCGCGGATGGTACTACAGTAAGTTATTATAGTTGTACGGTTTTTATTAGGGATTCCCACTCTCGAGCATACAAAACCAAGGTATTTCTTGGGCTACATTCACATAGGTGCAGATCATTTGCTGCATTCAGGGGAGGATAAACACCACCTCTTGGATGCGGCAATACTCTGCGCTGTGGCCGCATACAAACTGGCTAATTTGGCTGCAGCCAGAACTCAACAGAACAGGGATCTTCTCCAGGACAGCTTGGTATAGTGATAATCTTGTCCTTTATTCACAGCCCTGGCTTGGGATGCCTGTTACTATATGTGCATAAAAGACAAGATTATCACTATACTAAGATTTGTTGGTGAAGATCCCTAATTTTCAATGATTTTATGGTGAAAGCATCCACCAGCACCCTGCACGAACTGTCAGCAGGCCTGTAAGGAGCATAACAGATACAGTACAACTTCTCTGTGGAACTAAGCAGAAAGCCAACTCTGGATGCACATACTGTAGTCTGCATGCAGAATCGGTCACAGGTTCTTTTTACATGTAAATGAGCAGTTGCGTGCAAACAGCAGCTGCATCGGTCATTGAACTGCGCTGCTGGACACACACAGTGTGTGCAGGCAGCTATTATTACTGCCAGCAAGAATCAGTGCAGTCATGCTTGTTTGGTAAATCAAAACAGCTCAGTGAGGACATGGTAGCACAGTGACCCGTAGTAACCCATTAGATATGCACGTATTGGTTTTTTACCTTTTTTGAATAATCCTTAGTATTTGTTTCTGTGCTTTCATAGTAACCATTTCCCCACTGTGCCAATTTTCTGACATTTCTGTCATACATGTAAAGTCTATTTTATTTATTTTTGATAGGCAATTACTTAGCGCCCCCAGACATTTTTTATATTTTTTAAGCAGAGGCCCTAGAGAATAAAATGGTGGGTGTTTCAATTTTTATGTCACCTGGTATTTGCACAGCACTTTTCAGCAACTCAAAATGGTACTCAGGTGTCCGTTTATGAACCAGCGGTAAATGATCACTGCTCAGTTCTCCAGAATTCTCGGAGAACACAGTTCTCCTGTGAATGCCGTTTATGAAGCGGTGTAGATCAGTTCTTCTCCGAATGAAGGAAAAAAAAACGGTCTACAAACGCTGGAAAACAGCCGCTTTTACTATAATCTCGCGAGATTACAGTAAAAGATCAGTTTACTAAGCAGAGGTAAATTATCGCTGCTTCGTTTGTGGTTCCTCCAATTCTCCAGCTCTGGGCTGGAGAATCTGGAGGGAGAACACAGATCTCCAGTGAAGGGCTGAACATGTTCTCCGCTGATCTCCTGAGTGTCATAAACTGTGAATGACCAGAGAATAGCTGTGATCCTCTGAATCGCAGCTATTCTCTGTGTCATAAACGGACACCTCAGTAGTTTATATGGCACCCACGTGCTTGTATGCATGCTTGACAACGTCGGGGCATGCTTCTAATGAGACAACGGATGGTGTCCTGGGGTATTTCCTCCAAGATCTGGACCAGGGCATCACTGAGCTCCTGGACAGTCTGAGGTACATCCTGGTGGCGTCGGATGGACCAAAACAAGATATCACAGAGGTGTTTTATTGTATTTAGGTCAGGCGACCGTGGGGGCCATTCAATGGTATCAATTCCTTCATCCTCCAGGAACTGCCTGCATACACTACATGATGCCGGGCATTGTCGTGCACCAGGAGGAACCTAGGACCCACTGCACCAGCGTAGGGTCTGACAATGGGTCAAAGGATTTCATCCCGATACCTAATGTCAGTCATGGTGCCATTGTCTAGCCTGTAGAGATCTGTGTGTCCCTCCATGGATATGCCTCCCCAGACCATCACAGACCCACCATCAAAATGTCATGCTGAACGATGTTACAGGCAGCATAACATTCTCCATGGATTCTACAGACCCTTTCATGTCTGTCACGTGCTCAGGGTGAACCTGCTCTCGTCTGTGAGAAGCACAGGACACCAGTGGCAGATCTGCCAATTCTGGTGCTCAATTGCAAATGTCAATCAAGCTCTATGGTGCCGGGCAGTGAGCACAGGGCCCACTAGAGGACGTCATATATACATACATACATGCTTTGATTTGCTTATCTGATCGATGTGCAATTCTACCAAATTAGCAAACAATCAAATAGGCATACCTTCTCCTCCAATCAATTTTAGACTTGATTTAATCAAACTGAATAGATTGGCCAGAGTGGAAAATTGATTGTATTGCATAAGTCTGTAGCCCTGAGATGCTTTCTTGGTGTGAATTCAGTTGTCCTTCGATCAAGTTATGCATTTGCAAAAAATTTAAATGGCGATGCAGTCAATAATGATATTCCACTTTTCCATGTGTCATTGATCGAATGGGTTGTAGACTATAGATCGATCAAAAATGAGATCATTTATCAAAGCTTGTATAGCCACCATAAGTTTCAGGATACTGGGAGACAAGGTTGAATTCAGGGAGAATATATCTCATTTCAAGCAAAGTGTTACTGCTGTGCTGTCTTCTTGCAGTGCTTCTAATCCTGCCCCCCCTTATTAGTATTCCTACCTGGTAGTAGCAGAGACTGCGGCTGAGTGTGGGTAACTCACCAGGAATTTCAAAACCTCAGCAAAATATATTAGCATGTTTCCTTTTCTTTTTTAAGTGTAACTCCTACATTCAAGACCCTTTATTCTGTATCTGATATATTGTGCAGGGTACAAAAATAAAGGGAGAATAATTTTTTTTTTTTTAACATACTGTCACAAGTCGGTATTTCTGATCACTGCCACACCAGTCATACGATGATGCTGGACTGCACTGTAAAAATAATAATCTAATAATTAAATAATGTAATCAAATCAAACACATGGAACTCTGTCCAAACAAGTCTGGCTCAGGGTTACCGCTATTGACAGCTAGATTTAATCCCGAGCCAGACTCGGGAAAACCACTAGGGAGGTTAATATATTCATTTATGGACACATGCCCATATTTGTTAAATCACATGCATGTTTAGTACATAGTCGGTGCAGTTGTCAGTTTTAATATGTAATATGTATCAGATATAATTATATAGTGTTTTTTTTTTTTGGTTTTGTTTTTTAATTTTCCTATAACATGCTGATACATGCCAAGGGAAAATGAAATGTGTGAACAAAGCCTTAAGTTTGAAATGTTTATATTTTCAATTGGGTTCTGCTATTTGTTTATTCCTTCCCTTTTTTTTTCCCTTTTCTGCTTGTAGATATCTTAATCTGCTTCATGAGGATGAGTTTTTCCAGAATGCAATGAAGGAGCTTCAACTCACAAAAAGTATTTGGACAATTGACTTGGCGTATCTTATGCACCACTTTGGGGTACAACACCGGTTCTGCACGCAGACACTGGGTGTAGACAAAGGATACAAGACTCAAGTAAGTTTTTTTTAACAAATGTAAAAGGTACAACGTGCAGTGTTTGTATTTCTTACCTACGTAGGCAAAGAGCTGATAGCCAGTCTGTCACTATATTAACCACTTGCCCTCTTAAGGATTTACCCCCCTTCCTGACCAGGCCATTTTTTTTTGTATTACAGTGCTGCGTTACTGTCACTGACAATTGCGTGGTCATGCAACGCTGCACCCAAATGAAATTTACGTCCCCCCCCCCCCCCCCCCCCCCCACGAATTGAGCTTTCTTTCAGTGGTTTTGATCATCGCCTGTGCATTTTTTTTTTCTTTTGCGCTATAGGGGGAAAAAAAAAAATATATTTTTTTACTTTTTGCTAATTAAACATGTCCATAAAAAAATGTTAATAATATTTAGGTTAAATTTAGTGCCAAAATGTATAGCTATTTCTTTGCTAAAAAAAAAAAATCCCAATGGCGGGTTATGTGAAAGTTATAGCATTTTACAAATGGCGGTATAGATACTTTTTTTTTTTTTTTAATTTTTACTATTAATGGCGGCGATCAGCGACAAATAACAGGACTGCGGCGGGCATTCTGACACTGGGGGGAACTGACTTGGTGTCACTGACATCCCCAGTGACACCAATACAGTGATCTGTGCTAAAAAAAAAAAAAGCACTGACACTGTACTAATGGCACTGCGCAGGAATGGGTTAACATGAGGGGCGATCAAAGGGTTAATTGTGTGCTGGTTCACTATGTGCTGTGTCCGTGTGCTTCACTCTAAGCACACTGCTTTGCATGGTTGTGCTGTGCACAGCCATGCAAAGCAGTGTGCAGGAGCTGACAGGGAGGAGAACTGTTTTGTTTACAAACAGTTCTCCTCCCCGTCGGAGATGCTTGGCAATCACCAGCCGGGTCCTGGTGATTGGCGGTGTCGGTAGAGCCCTCACGCGTACCCCCTAGCCAAAAATGCTAAATCGCGTGTGTGTGTGTAGAGTTTTGCCCACCCGTTTTGCCCTGTAACAATATTTCTGCTATAGGGTGGTCAGGAAGACGTTAAATTTGGAGTACACACTTTTTTGTTTTCATTGAAAGCCCAGTGCTGGTGGCTTTTAGCATAGGAATTGTTAGTAGTGAACATTTACATAATCAGAAACCACTAGACTGTGACTTTTTTTTTTTTTTTGGCTTGATGACTGTAATTATGCCATGGTGAGCCATTTCATGCTTGCAGTTGCTGTAACTACTAATGACAATAATAAATTGGTTTCCTGAAGTGTACTACATCGTATCTGAATACAGCTTTACAAAATGTACATTATAGATGGCAGTTCAATTTTAAAACCTATACTAAATTGGAATTTTACCTTTTTAAATTGTAATAAGCTGACCCCTTCAGTGAGTTTCCAGCAAAAAGCAAAGTTTTTGCTACAATAGAGTTCAATGGAGAAGCTGCTGAAATGCATGATGGTGTGTTTTTGCCGTGTTTTGCATTTTTATTCTGCCCAGCAACAAAAAAAAAAGTCCACTTTAACAAAAAAAAAAAAAAACAAAACCTGTCAAAAACGCAAAACAAACTGCAAATTGGACAAAAAGCAAACTGCATAGGTGTGAATGGAGCCTTACAGTAGATCAGGGCTTGACAAATTTGCTTTGAATGTAGGAGCCAGTTAAAAAAGTTAGGAGTCAGTTTTTCGAAAGAGCAAACACAAAGAACGGAAAAAGACACCAGGACGCAGCTTCACCGGTTTGGGGATTTGAAATCTCTGCAACTTTCTTTCCTCTCCTCCCAGCATTGACAGGACAGGCTAGACAAATTCTGATTGGTCAGCGCTGTCCACGTGATGACCACTTAGAATGCCTCTTGTTTGTACATTGAGAGCGATGGATAGGAGATTAAGCCACAAAGATTTCAAATCCCTGGATCAGGAAAGTGGCATACCAGTGCCCGACGGCAGAAGGCTGACAAAAGCCCAGGCATCAGGGTGCAATTTACAGTCGCCATGGAAATCTGGGATTTATCGAGCCCTGCAGTACAGCCCCCTATATCACACAGCACAGCCCCCCCTCATATGATGCAATACAGCCCCCCTATTTCACAAAGAACTGCCGCCTCCCCCATATCACACAGCACAGCCCCCACCCCCACTTCCCTATATCGCACACCATCCTACATATCACACAATACAACCCACCATATCACACAATACATATGAACAGCACAACACAAGGGCCCCACACATGGTCTGTGGCCCCCTCCTAGACATGTAATCAGAGCAAAGAGGAACAGTGTGGCCCCTACCTATAGGTATAATACAGGGGCTCCATATATGATCAGTGAGGCTACTGCCAGACACGTGCTTAGACGATGGTCTCCCCTCCTTCAGCAGAGTCCTGATCACCCTGGCTGGCACCGCATTCCTCTGCTCACGGCTGTCCACTATGGAGGGCATGACCACCAGGTGCAGCTTCATCACCGCACTGCTCCGCTCAGAGCAGCCAGTACCCTGGAACACATCCCTGGAGCTGCCATCACCGTCTGCCAGTGAGAGGGTGGGGCTGCAACATTTCACACACAGCGCTGGCCCGAGAGAGAGGGTGGGGCCAGAACACTTCACACACAGCACCAGCCAGGGATTGGATGGAGGGGAGGAGGAGGCTGCGCCTGCCATACTGTGTTAACCCTGAGCTGTGATTGGCTGCAGAGGTAGAACAGCGAGGAGATTAAGCTGCGGGGATTTCTTTAAGAACGGTATCCCAGTGCCTGCCAGTGGATGGCTAACAAACCCCAGGTGCCAGAACACAATTTCTAGTCGCCATGGTGACCTGGCACCTGGGATCTTTCAAGCCCTGCAGTAAGTTATGCTCTCCATTGAAAATAAAAGGTAAAGGAAATGTGATTTCAGTGCTTCAGTTGTGAACTCGTCAGATTAATTTTTCCCCAATGTGTATAGCTACAGGGATGAATGAGGGCTTGTTTTAAAGTTCTTGTATAGTTTGTCCAGAAAATGTAAATACTTTTAAAGTTGTTTTTAACTATATTTCTGCTTTCATAACATTACTTATCTATAATGAAGTATGCCTCCCAACGTGCAGGATGCTGGAATCTGAAGAAATCTTCAGGTTTCTGCTGCTGAACTTCTGGTGTCAATAGCTTCGGGTCTTTGGGCTCAGCTCCAACTAAAGATGATGTGACAGAGACATACCATCTCACTTCTCTCTCGTCCAGTAAAAAAAAGTTCACTGATTACAATGCCTGTTAGACAATCTGTGAGTGGTGGTGGGGGGGGGGCAGTGTGATCAGTCCCGAGATTCTCTCTTCCCCAATCATAGATCATTAATTATAATTATCTTATTGCTTAATTTTTATGTCTTTTTTAACTGATATCAAATTTGTTCAGTCTTTCTACAGAAAGCACTTTGATGCAGAGGAGAATAGAGTAAACCAGCTATTTGCCCAAGCCAAAACTCGTGGTGTCAATGTGGAGAAAAGGTACATCTGTTTACTTTGTCAATCAAAATTGTACAATTTACATTGCATTCATAAAGTATTTCACAGCGCTTAACTTTTGCCACTTTATTTATGTTACAGCCTTATTCCAAAATGGATTTAATTTATTTTTTTCCTCAACATTCAACAAACAATATCCAATAATGACAATGTGAAAAAAGTTAATTTTGAAATCTTTGCAATTTATTAAAAATAAAAACAGAAAAACCAAATGTACATAAGTATTCACAGCCTTTGCCATGCCACTCAAAATTGAGCTCTGGTGCATCCTGTTCCCACTGATCATCCTCGAGATGTTTCCACAACTTGATTGGAGTCCACCTGTGGGAAATTCAGTTGATTGGACATGATTAGGAAAGGCATAAACCTGTCTATATAAGGTCCCACAGTTACCAGTGCATGTCAGGCACAAACCAAGCCATGACGTCCAAGGAATTGTCCGTAGACCTCAGAGACAGGATTGTATCAAGGCTCAGACCTGGGGAAGGGTACAGAAATATGTCTGCAGCATTGAAGGTCTCATTGACAGTGACCTCCATCATCTGTAAATGGAAGAAGTTTGGAACCACCAGGAATCTTCCTAGAGCAGGCCGCCCTACTAAAATGAGCGTTCAAGGGAGAAGGGCCTTAGCCAGGGAAGTAACCAAGTACCCGATGGTCACTCTGAAAGCTCCAGCGTTTCTCTGTGGAGAGAGGAGAACCTTCCAGAAGAACAACCATCTCCGCAGCACTCCACCAATCAGGCCTGTATGGTAGTGTCGATATGGAAGCCACTCCTCATTAAAAGGCAAATGGCAGCCCGCCTGGAGTTTGCCAAAAGGTTACTGAGGGACTCTGACCATGAGAAACAAAGCTCTGTGGTCTGATGAAACAAAGAATGAACTCTTTGGCCTGGATGCAAACCGGCATGTTTGAAGGAAACCAGGCACCGCTCACCACCTGGCCAACACCATCCCTACAGTGAAGCATGGTGGTGGCAACATCCTGCTGTGGGGATGTTTTTCAGCGGCAGGAACTGGGAGACTAGTCAGGAATCAAAGGAAAGATGAATGCAGCAATGTACAGAGACATCCTTGATGAAAACCTGTTCCAGAGCTCTGTGGACCTTAAACCGGGGCGACGGTTCATCTTTTATCAGGACAACGACCCTAAGCACACAGCCCACATAACAAAGGAGCGGCTACGAGCCAACTCTGTGAATGTCCTGGAGTGGCCCAGCCAGAGCCCAGACTTGAACCCGATTGAACATCTTTGAAGAATGGAAGAAATTGCCCAAAAATAGGTGTGCCAAGCTTGTAGCATCATACTCAAAACGACTTGAAGCTGTCATTGGTGCTAAAGGTGCTTCAACAAAGTATTGAGCAAAGGTTGTGAATACTTATGTACATGTGTTTTTTTTTTTTTGTTTTTTTTTTTTTTTTTTAAATGCAAAGATTTTAAAACTAATTTATTTCACGTTTTCATTATGGGGTATTGTTTGTAGAATGTTGAGGGAAAAAATTAATTTAATCCATTTTGGAATAAGGCTGTAACATACCAAATTGTAGCAAAAGTTAAGCGTTGTGAATACTTTCTGGATGCACTATAATATATCTGTTTGTTTGCTCTTACACATTTCCTTTGATTACAGGTGTGTTACAATACAGGAGCTGCAAAAACACCTTTCCCAGGGACATGTGGCCATAGTACTAGTGAATGCTGTTCTGCTGTTGTGTGATCTGTGTCCCAGTCGTGTTAAATACTGCTGTTTTCTCCCAATTGGGCAGAAATGTTTCTGCAGAAACAGTGATTACCAAGGCCACTTTATAGTACTTAGTGGTTACAACAAAAGCTCTGGCAGTCTTTTCTACAACAATCCAGGATATGCTGACCGTGAGTAGCTTTATTTGAATTGTAACCTATGTATGTATGAGTAATAAGAAACCTCAGTTGATCGCATTTAACATTCTATCTGCCTTCAGGATTGTGTCGAACAAGCATCACTAACTTTGAAGAAGCTCGAAGCAGCTATGGCACAGATGAGGACGTTCTGTTAATCTTTATGGGCAGCTGACACTAGGATGGAATATGCAGCACTGCAGATAACTTCCATATATGCAGAACTAATTCTGCAGTACTTGCAATACAGAGACATTTTTACATGTACAGCGTGAAATAAAAACCTCATGGATAACAGCTGGATCCAAAACACTCTCCAGGGTAGACTTCCACCACTAAATGGAATTATGTATATATGTATGTATATAAAATAATTTACTGAGCACAATAGCCAGGGTAATTACCTTTAGTACTACTGCAGTAGTCAAGTGCAGGCTCTGTAAATTAAAGAATAAGTGCACTTTTATCACACCTTAGCACCTTAAATATATCCAGGCAAATCAAGCAAGTTTACAGATATAAGTATCTACTTCCTTTTTATTTTTTTTTATTTTTTTTTTTTCATGGAACATTTAGACTGTTGAAAGTCTAAACGGTTTGGCCAGTTTTTTGTTTGATAAAGCCCCCTCCTACATCTTGGCACAGTACTGCTGCATAAATGGAGCATGCATCTCCAATATCCCTGTGTGTCAGCATGCTGCCAGACCCCAATCTTCTGTATGAATGAGTAAGCACGTCCAAATGCTTTTTGGGGATGCCCTGCTACACAAAATAATGGAATCATATGTACTGTATACTTCCTTCAAGATTTCCTTCTTGAGTTTCTAGGGTTATTTTAGAATTGCACACTACTGGGTATAGATCAGCCTGGTATGAGGTGCAACATAGTTTAGTTCTTATTTTATCATTGAGGTATACTTCTTTAGTGAATTACTTTCATAGTATTCTGTGTCCATTGTCTGGTTATAACTATGAGCTGAGACAGTTGAGGGCCTTTTTGTTTAGTCTGCTTTTTCCATCCAAAGGCAAGGGTTTATTATAGGATATCAGCTTGTTCTAATAAACACACAGGGTGTGTACATATTTTAGCACTGATCAATAAATTACAGGCCATATGCCACAATATGTGAAGGACTTATGCAATCAGCAACAGGCTATCATTAATATTAATAAAGAAACATTTTATACATATTAAACAAGGACAGCATCCATCTATATATGTCATACCAGTCTACTTGTTTTATTGTGTTTAAGTGATATCAAATATTCCCGGTCAGTGAAGGATTCCAGAGAATGTCCCGTGTATATTGACTAGACGATTGTGTCGGGTACAAAAAATACTTAAAAAAAAAACAAAAAACCACCTGTCAGGTTTTGCATAGTTTATAAAGTAAATGTATTGTCCAACAGTTGCTATGAAAAAGCTCACAATCGTGCTCATGTCCTTGCAATGTGCCGCACAATGTGGGACATCAGTTTCTCTGACATGGATCTTCTTACCTTTCACAAACCAATAACAGGGATGTTATTTGCAGCTGTATCATTGGATAATTTGACAGCAAAGACAGGTTAGAGCTTCCAGTAAAATGTGCACCTTTGATTAGTAGACTTCTCTGGTACGCAGGAGAGATTTTGAAATTTAAGTTGCTTTCAAGCACCCTTTTAAGGCTCGTTTACACATAATGCAGAGACGTCAGTTTTTCTGAACGTGTTCTGCAAGGGCACAACAAAATCAACTGTTCTCTGTGTCCTGTTCACACCACAACACTAGTATCGCGTGCAGATTTTTTCTGCACAGGAGTCTGCAAGTATAAAACTCATTGAAGCGCTGATGTAAACTGAAGTGAAACTGATGTCTCTGCAAGTCAATTCTGCGCGTCAGTTTCCATCAGTTTTTCTGCATGTATGGTGTGAACGAGGCCTTAGACAACTAACAGGTGCAAATTTTTACCCTTATGTTTGGGTATTGCTTTCATAATGCACTTCTTTCCCCTGGCATCATTTTTAATGTTCCAGTTAACTGAAAAATCTAGAACAGACATATGCAATATTGTGTGCAGATCTTTTAATGTCATACAAACAGCGGCTTGCAATAAAAAATGTTTAGAGTGCATCCCTCTCACTTGTATTGTGATCAGTACCATAGTGGTGTAGGATGATTGCAGTAATGGTTTTCAAGCAGGATTCTGCTGTCAGCATTGATCACTCCTTCAGAAAATGTTTCATGTGAAATGGAAAGTCACTGAATCATGACATCTAGGGAACAAGTGCACAGTAGGAGTTATTATTATTATACAGGATTTATATAGCGCCAACAGTTTGCTCAGCGCTTTACAATATAACGGGAGACAATACAGCAACGATACAGTTCAATACAAGAGGGAAAGGAGGGCCCTGCTCCTTGGAGCTTACAATCTTGGAGGGAGGGGCTAGTGGTACAAAAGGTAGTAACTGTGGGGGATGGACTTGTAGGAAGAGTAGAAGATTTCATTATTAGCTGAGGGCAGGATAGGCTTCCCTGAAGAGATAGGTTTTCAGAGATCGCCTAAAAGCGAGCAGAATAGGCGATAGTCTGATAAATTGGATTAGAGAGTTCCAGAGGATGGGGGAAGCTCTGGAAAAGTCCTGGAGACGAGCATGGGAGGAGGAGACAAGGCAGCTAGAGAGCAGGAGGTCTTGCGAGGAGCAGAGAGTACGGTTTGGGTGATATTTAGAGACAAGATCGTTGATGTAATTTGGGGCAGAGCTATAAATGGCTTTATACATTATTGTTAATGTTTTAAATTGTATCCGTTGGGCAATGGGAAGCCAGTGGAGGGATTGGCAGAGAGGGGTGGCAGATACAGAACGGTTAGTAAGGTGGATAAGTCTGGCAGCAGCATTCATGATAGACTGAAGAGGGGATAGTCTGCGATTTGGTAGGCCAATGAGGAGGGAGTTGCAATAGTCAAGGTGAGATATAACGAGGGAGTGAATAAGTTGCTTAGTATTTTCCGTGGTTAGGAACAGGCGTATCTTAGAGATTTTACGGAGGTGAAGTCTACAAGATTTGCACAGTGATTGGATTTGGGGGTGAAAGGACAGATGGGAGTCTAGGATTACTCCTATTACCCTGGCATGAGGGGAGGGACTGATGATTCTGTTATTAATCTTAATGGAGAAGTCAGGGGAGGGGGCACGGGCTGGAGGGAATACTAAGAGCTTCATTTTGGAAAGATTGAGTTTGAGGAACTGGAGTGACATCCATGCCGATATGTCACTTAGTAGGTTAGTAATGCGAGAGGAGACTGAAGGGGTGAGGTGAGAAGTAGAAAGATAGATTTGTGTGTCATCAGCATAGAGATGGTACTTAAAGCCATGGGAGTTTTATTAAGTGACCAAGGGAGGAGGTGTAGATTGAGAAGAGAAGGGGTCCAAGGACAGAACCTTGAGGGACCCCTACAGAAAGAGGGAGTGAAGAGGAGGAGGCAGCGTTATAGGTAATGCTGAAGGAGCACTGAGATAGGTAGGAGGAGAACCAGGAGAGAGCAGAGTCTCTGAGGCCAAGAGAATGGAGTTTTTTGAGGAGGGGATGGTCAACTGTATCAAAAGCCGCAGAGAGGTCAAGTAGTAAGAGTACGGAGTAGTGGCTATTGGTTTTAGCTGTTAGTAGATCATTGGTGAGTTTTAGTAGGGCAGTTTCAGTGGAGTGTAGTGAGCGAAAGCCAGACTGTAAAGGGTCAAGAAGGTTGTTGTCGGTGAGGTGGGAGCTCAGGCAATTGTAGACTAAGCGTTCTAGGAGTTTAGAGGTAAATGGCAGCAGGGAGAGAGGGGTCTTAAGTTGTTCAGGTTGGTGGGGTCAAGGGAGAGCTTTTTAAATATGGGAGTGATGTGCGCATGCTTTAGAGGGGAGGGGAAGGCACCAGTAGAGAGGGAAAGATTGAAGATGTGAGTGAAGGCGCATAGGATGGAAGAAGAGGGTGACCGTAGTAGTTGTGAGGGGACAGGATCCAGGGGGCAGGTAGTGAGGCGGGCTTCTGAGAAAAGCTTAGTGACCTCTTCGGTAGGAGCAAGGTCAAAAGAGGAAAGTGTTGAGGGAGGTTTAGTATAAGGTATGCTAAATGGGATGGATGTCTGTGCAGTGTTGAATGCCCCAACAAATTGCATCAATCTTGTTTTTGAAATTATTTGCAACCTCGTGAGCAGTGAGTGAGTTCTGACTTTACTGATTCGGTGGCTTAATTTATTGAAGCCAGAGCCTGCCAGCTAGCTAGCATTTTCAGGAGGTCAGTGATTGCATCCTACATACAGGAGAAACTCAAATTAGAATATCATGCAGAAGTTCATTTATTTCAGTAATGCAACTTAAAAGGTGAAACTAATATATGAAATAGACTCATTACATGCAAATAAAGATAGTTCAAGCCGTGATTTGTCATAATTGTGATGATTATGGCTTACAGCTCATGAAAACCCCAAATCCACAATCTCAGAAAATTAGAATATTGTGAAAAGGTGCAAGATTCTAGGCTCAAAGTGTCCCACTCTAATCAGTTAATTAAGCCATAACACCTGCAAAGGGTTCTTGAGATTTTAAATGGTCTCTCAGTCTGGTTCAGTAGGAATCACAATCAGGAAAGACTGCTGACCTGACAGTTGTGCAGAAAACCATCATTGACACCCTCCATAAGGAGGGAAAGCCTCAAAAGGTAATTGCAAAAGAAGTTAAATGTTCCCAAAGTGCTGTATCAAAGCACATTAATAGAAAGTTATGTGGAAGGGAAAAGTATGGAAGAAAATGGTGCACAAGCAGCAGGGATGACCGCAGCCTGGAGAGGATTGTCAGGAAAAAGCCATTCAAAAGTGTTGGGGACTTTCACAAGGAGTGGACTGAGGCTGGAGTCAGTGCATCAAGAGCCACCACAAACAGACGGATCCTGGACATGGGCTTCAAATGTCGTATTCCTCCTGTCAAGCCGCTCCTGAACAACAAACAATGTCAGAAGTGTCTTACCTGGGATAAAGAAAAACAGACCTGGTCTGTTGCTCAGTGGTCCAAAGTCCCCTTTTGTGATGAGAGCAACTTTTGCATCTCATTTGGAGACCAAGGACCCAGAGTATGGAGGAAGAATGGAGAGGCACACATTGCAAGATGCTTGAAGTCCAGTGTGAAGTTTCCACAGTCTGTGTTGATTTGGGGAGTCATATCATCTGCTGGTGTTGGTCCACTGTGCTTCATTAAGTCCAGGGTCAACGCAGCCGTCTACCAGGAGATTTTGGAGCACTTCATGCTTCCTTCCGCAGACGAGCTTTATGGGGATGCTGACTTCATTTTCCAGCAGGACTTGGCACCTGCCCACACTGCCAAAAGCACCAAAACCTGGTTCAATGACTGTGGAATTACTGTGCTTGATTGGCCAGCAAACTCGCCTGACCTGAACCCCATAGAGAATCTATGGGGCACTGCCAAGAGAAAGATGAAAGAAGACATGAGACTGAACAATGCAGAAGAGCTGAAGGCCGCTATTGAAGCATCCTGGTCTTCCATAACACCTCAGCAGTACCACAGGCTGATAGCTTCCATGCCACGCCGCATTGAGGCAGTAAATTGCTGCAAAAGGGGCCCAAACCAAGTACTGAGTACATATGCATGCTTATACTTTTCAGAGGTCCGATATTGTTCTATGTACAATCCTTGTTTTATTGATTGCATGTAATATTCTAATTTTCTGAGATTGTGGATTTGGGGTTTTCATGAGCTGTAAACCATAATCATCACAATTATGACAAATCACGGCTTGAACTATCTTGCTTTGCATGTAATGGGTCTATCTCATATATTAGTTTCACCTTTTAAGTTGCATTACTGAAATAAATTAACTTTTGCACAATATTCTATTTTTTTGAGTTTCACCTGTATTTATCTTGGTACAGGATTCCTTTTAACTGCAATATAACACTTCGAGTATGAAAGTATAAGACAAACCTTTCCTTTTGCCAATGTATACAGATACCACCTTCAAATATGAACTTCTCAGGTTATAAAAAACTATTTTTGGTGCTGATCTGGGTATACTGTTAAGGGTAGGAGTCCCTGCTGTCAGAACACAATAGTGCACTGGGGTAGATGCCCCAAAGAACCCCAAAATTATTTTGCAAAGGAAATAACAAATACAAAATGCCTAAAAGAAGATCTGCTAAAGGGGCAATGTCAGCTTTTTTGAAGGGTGTACATACTTTTTCACATTACATTTATTGATATTTTTGCTGTATAAAAGATTCAAAAGGCAAGTTTCCATGCAGCAACCTTAATATTTTCACATGGCTTTAATTTGCTACTCAAGCTTTTTCAGAGTTTATCTAAAATTATTATTACTCTTATCATGCATGCTGTTCAGCTGCTGTATAAAGCTGCTGGATCCATTGTCTCCTTTGAAACACTTCTTCATAGATAAACATTGAGGTCAACTGGCAAAAACAAAGGAGAAACCTTAGTCTGTGACTTGCTGTAGCTTTCACAAATCAACCCTTGGATTTGAGCTACATGAGTATTTATCCAGCATTAGTGCAAACCTTTTTCAAAGTGAGGCTGAAGCCTCCCAAAACACTGACTTCTATAAAGGAGAGAATAGGTTCACTCCCTCCTCTGAGACTTGTCCTTATGGCAGAATATAGGTGGGTCTTCTTTTGAGGCTCTGACTCTACACACCCTACAGTTTGCATTGGCTGTATCTAGTATACACATCCTGATTTTTTTTTAATGTATCTATTATTTTGCTGTGTGAGTATGTGTTTTCACAGCTATGATGATTTTTTTGCTTATTAAAAGAAATGCCTTTTATATTTGGTTCTTTAAACACTTGCTCTGCCAACATATCCAATGCATTAAAAATGAAAGTGCTGTGTCCACACCACCTCCACAGAGATTCCTCACTCTGCTGTGTCTACAGCCCACCTGAGACACCTCCCACTGTGTTGTGTCCACACCACCTCCAGGGACCCCTCCCACTGTGTTGTGTCCACACTGCCTCCAAAGACCCCTCCCACTGTGCTGTATCCACACCTCCTCCAGAGACCCCTCCCACTGTATTGTGTCCACACACCCTCCCACTGTGTTGTAGCCACACCACCACCTCCAGGGACCACTCTCACTGTGCTGTGTCCACAACACCTCCAGGGATCCCTCCCACTGTGTTGTGTCCACACCAAGTCCAGGGACCCCTCCCACCGTGTTGTGTCCACACCAAGTCCAGGGACCCCTCCCACCGTGTTGTGTCCACACCACCTCCAGGGACCCCTCCCACCGTGTTGTGTCCACACCACCTCCAGGGACCCCTCCCACCGTGTTGTGTCCACACCACCTCCAGGGACCCCTCCCACTGTGTTGTGGGGACACCACATCCAGGGACCCCCTCCCACTGTTGTGCCCGCACCACCTTCAGGGACCCCTATCACTGTGCTGTGGGGACACCACCTCCAGGGACCCCCTCCACTGTGTTGTGCCCGCACCACCTTCAGGGACATCTCACTGTGCTGTGTCTGCACCACCTCCAGGGACATTTCCCACCGTGCTGCGTCGCCACCACCTCCAGGGACATTCCCCACTGTGCTGTTTCCACACCACCTCCAGGGACCCCTCCCACTGTGCTGTGTTCACACCACCTCCAGGGACCCCTCCCACTATGCTGCGTCCACACCACCTCCAGGGACATTCCCCACCGTGCTGCATCCACACCACCTCCAGGGACCCCTCCCATTGTATTGTGTCAACACCACCTCCAGGGACACCTCTCACTGTGCTGTGTTCACACCACCTCCAGGGACCCCTCCCACTAGCTGCATCCACACCACCTCCAGGGACCCCTCCCACTATGCTGCGTCCACACCACCTCCAGGGACATTCCCCACCGTGCTGCATCCACACCACCTCCAGGGACCCCTCCCATTGTATTGTGTCAACACCACCTCCAGGGACACCTCTCACTGTGCTGTGTCCACACCACCTCCAGGGACACCTCCCACTGTGCTGTGTCCACACCACCTCCAGGGACACCTCCCACTGTGCTGTGTCCACACCACCTCCAGGGACCGCTCCCAATGAGTTGTGTCCACACCACCTCCAGGGACATTCCCCACTGTGCTGTTTCCACACCACCTCCAGGGACCGCTCCCACTGTGCTGTGTACACGCCACCTCCGGAGACCCCTCCTACTGTGCCCATACCACCTCCAGGGACCCCTACCACTATGCTGCATCCACACCACCTCCAGGGACATTCCCCACCATGCTATGTCCACACCACCTCCAGAGACCCCTCCTACTGTGCTGTGTCCACACAAACCTGTAGGGACATTCCCCACTGTGCTGTGTCCACACTACCTCCAGAGACCACTTCCACTGTGCTGTGTCCACACCAACTCCAGGGACATTCCCCACCATGCTGTGTCCACACTACCTCCAGAGACTCCTTCTACTGTGCTGTGTCCACACAACTCTAGGGACATTCCCCACTGTGCTGTGTCCACACCACCTCCAGAGACCGCTCCCACTGTGCTGTGTCCACACCACCTCCAGAGACCGCTCCCACTGTGCTGTGTCCACACCACCTCCAGGGACATTCCCCACAGTGCTGTGTCAGCATCACCTCCAGAGACATTTCTCACTCCATTTATCCACCCCTTTTACAAACATTCCTTATTTTGCAGTAATTATACACACCCACAGAGATACTTCTCACACTGCAGGGGTCATGTAAAATTCCTCTTGTCTAACTGGGGACTAGAATCCAAAAGGGATCCATTTTTTGAGTAACACAGGTACTTGCAAGCCTTATGTACAGTGCAGGTACTTCACTTCTACACCATTATGCCTCATGCACACAGACGGTGAGCAGAATAAAAAATGCTGGGCATTTTCCCACGCTTGAAGAGCCACGTACAGCCTGCCATTTAAATGAATGGCTGTACATAGCTGTTGTCTTGTAAATGCCTTTGCTTGTTTGCATCAGCAGTCACCTATACACAAGCATATGATATAAATCCAGGCAATGCACTGCATGCGCACATAAACACAGATTCAAACAAGCATTTACAAGTGTAAGGCTGCATATAGCCGTTCATTGTATGGGAGGCTGTACTTAATACCTACAGGTCCCCGGAAGCTGGAAATTGTCAGGATTTTGCACCCAGCATTTTTTATGCCTCACTGTCCATGTACATGAGGCATTACCCTGAAAACATGTATTGCTTTCAAACCCTGAAAGCCCAATTCCTGGCTTTTTTTTTTCTTAATTATCACCCTGGAGCTCTGGCTAAGATACCTTTTATACCATTCTTTATAATTGTCCCTGTTCACCCTTGTACTGTCAGACAGCCTACACTCAAAGTACATGAGATTTTTTTGAGGATATTCAGGTGCTTTTGGTCTTATAAACTTTTATGGGAGCTGCTGTAAATGCACATTACGTGCGTTTTCATGCCTAAGTAAATCCTCTCCTCCCCTCGCCCAGCCCAAGATACAAATGCCTGAAGCTTGATACACAATACACATGCAAGAACACTCTACTCTGGTGTGAATACAGGCTCACTGATGGAAAAAAAAAAAAAAAAAAAAACACATGGCAACAAGGTTGTGCAAAAGTTGATAACCCTTAGTAACCAGATTTCAGTTTGGGGCCTCATGCACACAGGACATTTGAACCACTAGCCTACAGGGCACTTATACCCCCTTCCTGCCCAGGCCAATTTCCAGCTTTCAGCACTGTTGCACTTTGAATGACAATTGCGTGGTCATGCAACACTGTACCCATATGAAATTTTTATCATTTTTTTGTGACAGATAGAGGTTTATTTTGGTGGTATTTAATCACCTCTGGGTTTTTTTAGATTTTCTTAAACAAAAAACCACTGAAAATCTAAAAAAAAAAATCGTTTTTTTCTTAGTTTTTGTTATACAATTTTGTAAATAAGTGATTTTTCTCCTTCTCTGATGTGCGCTAATGAGGCTGCACTGATAGGCTGCACTGATGGACACTGATGAGGAGGCACTGGTAGGTGGCACTGATGGGCATTGACAGGCATCACTGATGGGCACTGATAGGCAGCACTAACTGGCACTGATAGGCGGCACTGATAGGCAGCACTGACAGGCACTGATAGGCGGCACAGATGCACACTGATAGGCGGCACTGACTGGCACTGATTGGCAGCAATGATAGGTGGCACTGACTGGCATTGATAGGTGGCACTGATGGGTGACACTGAAAGGCAGCTCAGATGGGTACTGATATGTGGCACTGATGGGCACTGGCAGGTGGCATGGATGAGCATAGAGCTGGCACTGATGGACACTGACAGGTGGCGCTGCTGGAGCTACACAGATCATCAGGGCACACTGATCATCAGAGCACTGATGATCAGTGTACATGTCCCCTCCGAGGAATGCCGATTACTGGCTCTCCTCTCCTCTCCTCACGAGCTGTCAGCGCGACAGCTCGTGAGGAGAGAAATGTGGCATTTCCCTGTTTACATGTCATCAGCTGTGATTGGACACAGTTGATCACATGACCCAGCCGACATCTTCGGCTCTTTCCGTGGATCGGTGATCCGCTGTGTCCAAGGGACACAGCGCACTGCCGATCGTCGCGCGCTCCCGGAGCCGCACATGCACTGTGAGAATGGGAGGATGTCATATGACGTCCTCCCAGAACGAGAGAACCGCCTTGCGTCCGTCATATTACTATATGGCGGGCGGGAGGTGGATAAAAATGCTCCTCTTGGCAGCAGTGTTTTGGGCAGAAAAAAAACACCTGACGCTTGTCTAATGCTTTTAAAAGCATTTAGGCACGTTTACAAGCATCAAGCGCTTGGGCGTTAATGCATTTCAGTGGGCAGGATAAATTATTTTGGTCAAGTAAATGATTTAACATGCAAGCGCTAGTGTTAACATGTGTTTTGACACGTTTAGCTGTGTTTACACGCGTCAAGCATTTGTTAAAACGCTGCTGCTCCTGGACGCACTGGCCCTGGGTTTTTTTCCTGCTGCTAAACGCTACTGCTACTAAAATCTTCTAAAAGTCTGTGTGCATGGTGGCCATGCACGGTGGCATAGGATAACATGGAGGGCCATTTGGAAGCAGTAAAAAAAAAAAAAAAAAAATGCCTGAAACCCCTAAAAGTGGCTGCAAAAATGCCCCGTGTGCATGAGGCGTAACTCAGGAAAATGATTCCTGGTTGTTATGGTTTGCTGTATCCTCATTGCACTGTGCCATTTCATTGCAGAACAAAAATCATCACCCAGTGGCCCTAGAGGAGCTCAGCCAAGATGGGGAGAGAGCTATTTTCTGAGATGCTGTCCTGATGAGTCAGGGATGAGAAAGTACTACTTACAGAGGGTGATATGTTCAGAACATCTCTATATTGATTTTTTTAAATACATTTTGCTCTTCTGAAGTGAGACAGGGTCCAGTCTTGCAGCATGCCATCCCCTGGTGTGCCCCCTCTTCCTGTACTCCGGCTCGATTTGTACCGCTAGACACACAGACCACATACCACTAGACACATCTTGGTAGTACATACAGTGCATAAAAGGACAAGACTATGTAACCCTATAAAGACTAGACAGGCAATATATCAATAAGCCTGCATTATGTATGTATATACAGCTCTCATGAAAACTTCCAAAAGGGGCCACATACATTTGATAGGAAATGATTGTATCTAGTGTTTGTGTTCCTGTACAAAACTAACAGGGAACATTAATCCCCCTCAACAAATGAAATTCCTTCTAAATCACTGCTTCCAGGCAAGACGGCATATACCTAGATATGGCCAAGAATACCCTTCATATGTCTCTTCTGAACAGGGGCGGACTGACCATTTGGAAACTCGGGCACTGCCCGAGGGCCTGGGGTCAGTAGGGGGCCCCATGAGATGCCTCTGGTACCTTTTTCATAAGCTTTTTTGAGTTTGGGCAAGGATACAGGGGCCCCACAATCCCCTATTGCCCAGGGGCCCCATGAGTTGTCAGTCCACCCCTGCTTCTGAGTGGCAAAAGCAAAAATAGTCATCTAATTAAGGTGGTTCCAAAAATCCTTTACATTTCTTTATTTGTAATTTTTTTCATGTATAGAAGAGGAGGTATCACAAAAAAATCTCTTTACCATTTTAATTCTCTTTTGGTTCATTGAATAATTGGGAATTATGGAAACACAAACTTAGGTTAACTTTTAGGGGAAATGGTAAAAAAAAAAAGTTTACAGTAAATCTGTCAAGAAGGAGATGGAGGGCGGTCACTGCTAACCAATTCTCAAAATGGCACTTTACAACACGATAAACAAGCAGTGCAGATGCCAAAGCAACCCATTCGATGGAATGGATCCACACTGCAAACACCCTGCAACCTCATGCAATGCAGGTGGATGCAGAGTGGTGATGTGGAATTACAGGGTTAAAAAAAGACAATGTGGGACACGCCTGTCAAACGCATTCTGAAAAGTGATTCACCGTAGATCCCTTATCAGAGAGATGGCAAGGGCTGTTTCACAGCTCTCAGGGCTCGTTCACATTAGCTTTGATCTCTGAAGAGCATTCCACATTCAGATCATTCTTCAGAAAGCTTTTGAAGGGCAGTGTGGAGGCGTTGTATTGCCTGCTTGGACCCCACACTAGCACATAATGCACGTGGTATTAGGGAGTTTGCAAAGCAACAGGAGGTATAATTCCTGCCACAAAGTAAAGCAACGTGGCCGCAGCATGTGCACACCCATGGCTACTGGCTCTGCAGCTAAAGAGGAAGCGCTGGGGGGTGGCTTGGCAGTAAAAGTGTGGCTAATCTGAGTTTTACCACCATTCAACTGCTAGTGTGAACAAACTGTATTTCATTTTTACATACATAAATAGAACCGTTTTACAAAAAGGTATACTTTTTTTTTTTAATGTGTTTATTATTCATTAGGTAAAAAGGTATAGAAATTATTTTACAGTTTTATGTAAGTACATGTATACCATATTGATAGCACAGAAGGCAGTGCACACAGGATGTCACTTGTGTGTTTTGTTTTCAGTACAATTTAGTACCTTTTATTCTCTCACAATGTCAGGTTGGAAATCTGGTCTGACAGCTCGCGCTAGCTCTTCAGCATACATTTCATAGCGTCCAGTCATCTGTGGGTACAAATATAATATATGTATGACTTAGTCTGGTACCTGTAGTACTGTCAGATAAAAAAAAATAAAAAATATATATATATATATATATATATATATATATATATATATATATATACACAGTGGGGCAAAAAAGTATTTAGTCAGCCACCAATTGTGCAAGTTCTCCCACTTAAAAAGATGAGAGAGGGCCTGTAATTGGCATCATAGGTAGACCTCAACTATGAGAGACAAAATGAGAAAGAAAATCCAGACAATCACATTGGCTGATCTGGAAAGAATTTATTTGCAAATTATGGTGGAAAATAAGTATTTGGTCAATATGAAAAGTTCATCTCAATACTTTGTTATATATCCTTTGTTGGCAATGACAGAGGTCAAACGTTTCCTGTAAGTCTTCACAAGGTTGGCACACACTGTTGCTGGTATGTTGGCCCATTCCTCCATGCAGATCTCCTCTAGAGCAGTGATGTTTTGGGGCTGTCGCTGGGCAACACGGACTTTCAACTCCCTCCAAAGGTTTTCTATGGGGTTGAGATCTGGAGACTGGCTAGGCCACTCCAGGACCTTGAAATGCTTCTTACGAAGCCACTCCTTCATTGCCCGGGCGGTATGTTTGGGATCATTGTCATGTTGGTAGACCCAGCCACGTTTCATCTTCAATGCCCTTACTGATGGAAGGAGGTTTGCACTCAAAATCTCACGATACATGGCCCCATTCATTCTGTCCTGTACAAGGATCAGTCGTCCTGGTCCCTTTGCGGAGAAACAGCCCCAAAGCATGATGTTGCCACCCCCATGCTGTATTTTTTGCCCCACTGTATATGATTTGTAAAATCATTAACAATCAAACCAACAGTGGTGGAGAACTCATGAATGCTTTATCAATGTCAGTGTTCAAAAATCAGAATTCCAACTTCCTAAAATATCAGGATGCAAACAACAACCAAGTGCAATTGTAGCAAAAATAATGCAAAAGGCATTAGGCCTCCGTCACATGGGTAATTAGGGTTGGTTTGCGTATTCTGGCAGAAAGAATCAGATTCTTGCAGCCAGAAATCACAGATGTTTACGCTTAGCTACAGCCAGAGGCGTCCCTAGAGTTGGTGTCACCCAGTGCAGTAACACTTGGTGACACCCCCTCCGACGATCCCTGCAGAATGGATCGGATCTGCGGATTGAGCATAATGGATCGGACTCTGATACATTATGCTCAATCCGCAGATCTGATGCATCCTGCGGGGATCGTCGGCTTTCTTTACAACTTACTTTTTCTTGGAGCAGGTCCGGTGTCACCCCATATAGGTTGCATGCCGATGATCCCCGCAGGATGGACCCCCGCACCTGACATGGGACGCCACTGGCTACAGCTGCTCTGTCCATATGAATCAATGGCAAGCTGACAGCAGCCATGGCTGGCTGCAGGTAAACACACATGTAGTGATTACCAGTGGCTAGGGATGGATGATTTCCACTGTATCCACGGTTAGACATCTGTCTCTAACTGCAGGTACCCTCTCCATGTTCAGATACATGCGAACAGTACCAGCTTTTCTCAGCCTGTCATTGCTTTGTACAGGCTCAGTGGCTGCCACTGTTTGCGTACACCTGTTTCCCCAGCCACAAGAATCTGCTGATTCTTGCCTCTGGAATCTGGTGTATGCCCCTAATTGCCTGTGTGAAGCAGGTCTTTAAAACAAAGAACATGGAATGATCTAAACCTAAACTAACCTGTTGGCAAGTAAAAATGCATCTTCTCTGTCTTCCTTCATTTCATCGCTCAAATGCAACCTGCATTTCCTGCTGTCCTCAAAATTCCTGTTCTACATTTGTTCTAAGGTGACTACAAATGCCTCCTTTTGTATGTGAACGTAGTCATCCTTTCCTGCTCACCCTTCACTTCTGATACCCCTAGTGCTTGTATACACCATGATTGACAAAATACCATGTGGACCGTGCATAAATTCAGTGCATTAAATTTGACAATACATGAGTAATATTGCTTCACATATGCTAAATGAATAATTGTAACATTCCGTCCCAATACGGAAAAATAAAATGCCCAGGTGTTGAGTACTAATTGGTGAATTTCGTGCAAAAAATGACAGGTGCTCCTCTGTGCTCAATCGGTGCCCACATGGATGTGCACTCACCGTTAGCCGTGGACCACCTATCTCCAGGTTGGTCTGGTTAGCACATGCACTCAAACAGATAAAACTTTTTTTTTTGTAATTCATTGTAAAACAAACCAGCAGAGGCTTATACAGCATAAGTAAAGCACTGCGCCAACTGTTGGCGCTATATAAATCCTGTATTATAATTATAATAATGTTCATACAAAGAAATAAAGGTAAAGGCCATCCAATCAGGTCCACCTGTCAGTTTTTCAGGAGGACCAGATAGGAAGGTCCATGCAGTCCTATGGATTGGCGGGTGTAAATGGACATGTGTCTGTTAATGTCTGCCTACCTCCAGGTCCAATCAGGCCGCTAAAAAAAATGGAGGAGGACTCCGTTCTCTTCCATTTGGGTGGACAGGATTGGAGGTATCTAGGTGTAAAGGGTCCACCTAGCATGGTCTGTCCGTGTCTTCTCTGCCGTGTGAGTGGACATAGACCTGTCATCTGCTTCACTCTGCTCCAATCAGCAGGTGATCAGACAGTTCCCCAGCTGATCAGAAGGGAAGGCACCCAAGGGCCATAAATGTGTTGTTTATGCTTTGTAAGCTCTGCTGGATCATTTTTGCTTAGAATTACAATAAAAGTGAGGTTGTATCTGTATGAACAAATGTGTTGGTCATTGTTTGTGAACTATGATGACACCCACCTTGAAATTCCATTTGTCACAGGTTTGGCGGCACAGATTAAGGTCCATCTCCGCAATCAAAAGTCCATCACTAACTCTACTTAGGCCAGGAGTTCGGCTCCCATCTGGAGCTGAAACATAACTAGATCCATAGAAATGCCCAAAGTCATGATGGGCTGTAAAAAAGATAAAAAGACATACATTCAATGTGACTGCAACAGTGACAGACGCTGACAAGGATTATTACTTTAGAAAAATCAGGATACAGACTAAAATTTAGAAAAAAATATATATAATTATTTGTGGTTTTATTAGTGTGGCATTATGGGAATTTGAACTTGTTGATAGTCAGGAGATGCTGATGCAGGATTTGTGGTTATATTTTTATACTCTTTATAAACATTTCAATAAATCCATTGCAAATGTATACAAGTATATTTTATTACCTTTCTTGCCATCTCCGGATGTGAACTCATTTTCAAAATGCTCCTAAAAATAGATAGACAGGGTAATTTACCAAAGGCACATTAAATGGGATTATTTTGTTACAGCAGCTGAAGTAATCACAAAAACAGAACCAAAATAATACACTGCTCAAAAAATTAAAGGAACACTTTTTAATCAGAGTATAGCATCAAGTCAATTACACTCCCCTGGTCAGTTAAGTAGCAGAGGGGGTTGTTATTCAGTTTCAGCTGCTTTGGTGTTAATGAACTTAACAACAGGTGCACTAAATGGGCAAAAATGAGATGACCCCCAAAACAGGAATGGTTTTACAGTTGGAGGCCACTGACATTTTTTTCCCTACTCATCTTTTCTTTCACTAGTTTTGCAGTGTCACCACTAGTTTTTTCTAATGGTGACACTGTTCTAATGGTGACACTAGTTTTTTCTAGGGTCAGTGTCACCACTGGTAGCATGAGATGATACCTGGACCCTACAGAGTTTGCACAAGCAGTCCAACTCCTAAAGGATGGCACATCAATACATACCATTGCCAGAAGGTTAGCTGTGTTTCCCAGCGCAGTCTCAAGAGCATGGAGCAGATTCCAGGAGACAAGCAGTTTCTCTAGGAGAACTGGACAGGGGCATAGAAGGTCCTTAATCCATCAGAAGAACCGGTATCTGCTCTTTTGTGCAAGGAGGAACAGGAAGAGCATTGCCAGAGCCCTACAAAATGACCTCCAGCAGGCCACAGATGTGACCAAACGATCAGAAACAGAATTCATGAGGGTGGCCTGAGGGACTGACATCCTCTAGTGAGCCCTATGTTCACTGCCCGGCACCATAGAGCTCGATTGGCAGGTCCCCCACTGGCACCCTGTGCTTTTCAAAGATGAGGGCAAGTTTACCCTGAGCACATGGGACAGACATGAAAGGGTCTAGAAAAGCTGTGGAGAACATTATGCTGCCTGTAACATCGTTCAGCATGACAGTTTTGGTGGTGGATCAGTGATGGTATAGGGTGGCATATCCATGGAGAGACACACAGACCTCTATAGGACCTCTTTGGACCCACTGTCAGACCCTACGCTGGTGCAGTGGGTCCTGGGTTCCTCCTGGTGCCTCATGTGGGGAGAGTATGCAGACAGTTCCTGGAGGATGAAGGAATTGATACCATTGAATGGCCCCCACGCTCGCTTGACCTAAATCCAACAGAACACATCTGAGATATCATCTTTCGGTCTATATGATGCCGCCAGGTTGCACCTTAGACTGTCCAGGAGCTCAGTGATGCCCTGGTCCAGATCTTGGAGGAAATACCCCAGGACACTATCTGTTTTCCATTAGGAGCATGCCCCGACGTTGTCAGGCATGCATACAAGCACGTGGGGGCCATACAAACTACCATTTTGAGTTGCTGCAATTAAATTTCAGCAAAATGGACTAGCCTGCTGCATCATTTTTTTCACTGTGATGTTCAGGGTGTCTTTGAATTGAGTCCTCTGTAGGTTGATCATTTTCATTTCCAGCAAACGATGGGGCATCCATATGTTCCTACCACATTACATTAGGTCCATATCAGTATAGATATCCAGCGTGATATTTTTCCACATTGAGATCTGATGTGTTTTCAAAGTGTTCCTTTAATTTTTTGGAGCGGTGTATATTTTTTGAAGACAAGTGGATGAAATTTCACACTTACAGTTCCCACACGGTTGATGGCACAGGTGAAGCAGTGATTGGCAATGGCAGCATTCCTTGCCTCTATTGGCCACAATGACTCACTAAAAAGGAAATGAAAATATCCAGTGTTCTGTTCACAAAACCTGATACTTGCTGTGGAATGTAGAGATGTATAACATTGTACACAATTGCATATTATCATATTAGCTTAGATACCTTGTGAAAATTGTCAACAGGTTATATTTAGAAATTTAAACCACAATTTTAGATAGCAAAAAAACATGTTTTTTTATTCAAATGTGTCCAAACTTTCTCCCCTTCAGCTCTGCTTAACCAATGCTCAAACAGATTGTGAGGTTTTTTTTTTTTAATTAAAATGGTTTGGAAAAATAATTTTTACACAGATGTATCAAATTTGCCCAGTAAATGTTGATTAGGACCTAATGCTCTAATTACATTTCCTCTTAAAAAGAATGTCCTGGCATGCTTCTTGTCATTAACGCTGGACGTACACAAATGGAGTACATACAGTATCACCTTTTCACCTGCCAAAGGAATTGCATTTCTCTTCATTCTGTTCTGAGATTTACACAGCTCTGCCCCACAGTACAGTTCTTTCTAGTAGGGGACTGGAACTGACTTTTCTCTGCTACCATTCCATTTCATTTATGCTTACAGGTCTCCTCCCATGTCTTGCTGTGACTGAACAGTGAAAGAAGAAGCAGCAGACTGATGAGCTCATCACTCTGTCACTCCACTGTCTCTTTGCTATCAGCAAGTTAATTGCACTGCAACACTCCTGTCTGGCTTCTTCTCCTGCTCCCTGTCTCTGAGCTCTACTGTACAATGGATTGCAAGAGGCTGATAAGCCAAATGTAGGTAGTCAAACTACTGGCATTGGATGATATACACACATTTATACATTTTCTTTTTCTTTTTTTGTTGTCGATCATCCCATTTCATTACCTTAGTTCCCCAATAGTGGCTGAAGGGTTGAAAATAATTTCTGCTCCATTAATGCCGTACATGAGCCAGTTTAATGGATGGTGTCTTCCATAGCAGATATTCACAGCAATCCTTCCAAATGCAGTCTGGAACACTCGATGTCCTGTATTGCCCTCCATGTAATAAGTGGACTGGAACAAATAAGTAAGAGATTTGGTTCTCCAAGAAAACATATGGGGTATTTATAGCAGATGGCTCGCTGCTACACACCGCAACGTTACTCTGCTGCTGTTACTCTAAAATGCTGTCTTGCATTTTACAGCCCAGTCACATATTGCAGCCCATGATGCGGAGCCCGAGTTGTGTAAGCAATTTCTCTATGTTGAAGGAAAGGCTGGTCACATGAGTCCCAGGGCATGTGACTGTGCTGCACTCCTGGCTTTTTGTTCTGTCAATTGTTCTTTTTTAACAGAGTATAGAAGGGTTAAAACAATGTTTGTCCTTGTGTCTCAGAACAAATTCATACAAAATGCCCAAACCACCTAAACCTGGGCCTCTAAGTGTTCTTTTTATAAGACATAGAACTACAAGATCGTTGTGTTATAAGTTTCCCTTCTATTGGTCCAAAGTAGCCCCTGCCACTTTGGGACCAGGCCAATTCCGACACTTTTTGTTTACATTTAAAAATATATTTTTTTTGCTAGAAAATTACTTATAACCCCCAAACATTATATATTTTTTTAAGCAGAGGCCATACAGAATAAAAATGGTGGGTGTTGCAATTTTTTATGTCACACGGTATTTGAGCAGTGGTTTTTAAAGCACAATTTTGTTGGAAAAAAAAACACATTGATGAATTTGAATGCATATAAACACAATATAATACCAAATTGTTTGGTAAAAAATTTTGTTGGAAAAAAAACACATTGATGAATTTGAATGCATATAAACACAATATAATACCAAATTGTTTGGTAAAAAGTAAAAGATGATATTACACTGAGTAAATAGATACCCAATGTGTCACACCTTAAAATTGCGCATGCTCGTGAAATGGCAACAAGCGACGATACTTAAAAAGCTCCATAGGCAATGCTTTAAAAGCCTTTCTGGTGCTAGAATTATTGCTCTCACTATAACATTGGCAACAATACCTCACGTTGGGTATGGCCACCATTTACATATGCGTGTGCGACCTACGTATGCTTTCATCTTTGCCCACAAGCATGGGGGGTCGGGGGTTCTTTTAAAAAAATTTTCTTTAATACTTTTTCTATTTTTACACTGTCCCTTTACCATTGTTTCTGGTTTTGTACACCATAGAGATGACTGGGGAAATTCCAGTCCCCGATCAGCTCTATGATAAGCTGGCAGAACTTCTGGCTTTAGTCCGGCTTGCTGGAAATGACCGCTCCCACCACCAGTAAAAGCAATCCAGTTGCTAATTAGCCGCTAGGATGGCTTTTCCAAAAAAGGGAATCGTTGGCTGAAGAACAAAACAATACCAGGAGGATGCCTGTAGCTGCAGGTATTGCCCCAGTATAACACTTGAAAGCCAAAACATAAATATACATATTGCAGCAGTCTTCAAGTGGTTAAATATTGCCCTGTTTCTAATAACTATTTATATATATATATATATATATATATATATACACATACATATATACACACACACACATACACACATACATACACACATACACACATATACACAAACACAGTATAATGTTTTTAAAGTGGTAGTTTAAAGTAGAACTGTGGCCAGGTTACGAACATTCAAATATTTACACGTCCTTAACAAGCAGTAATTGACTTTAAAACAGGCCCACACTGATCTGTGTTAGCTGTCAGCACTATTGAGTAATTCATCCTCAACATTTTCTCTAGGTAGCTCAGCTTTCCCCAACCAGCCTGTCTCCCTTCTAATTTTCAATGTAAATAGAGAATGTGTGCCCAAGAAGAGGAGAGGAAAGTCTGCAGGGTGAGTCCAAAAGGACTTCACTACCTCTACTGTGAAAGATAGAAGAGGTACCACCACAACATAAAAAATATTTTTGCATCCCCAGAAGACCAAGTGCATATAGCACTTGGCTCAGTGGCCCTGTTGTGGATTAAAAGCACCTCATCTGCCCTCATCTGTGGCCCTGTTGTGGATTAAAAGCACCTTTTTATTTATGTTAATGCTGGCTGTAGAGCTCCACCCCAGGCGGAAGCCCAATTTGTTCCTATGGGGGAGCTACAGCCAGCACTTTAGACACCCCACCCCCCTTTCTCAGTAAAAAAAGATTTTGTGCAGTATTTTAGAGTGTCCTGCCAGGTCTGACTGTGGCAAAATAGTTTGTATAACTTCCCCAAGTCAGATGTGGCAGGGATAGTAAACATTATATATTCTCAGCTGGCAACAACATGGGAACTACAGGCAGTGTATGTTTATTAGCAGCCAGCTGATCACACAGCCCTGCCAGTGCTGACCACAGCTAAAGGTTTTTGAGGCACATCCAGGCAACAGAGGATGCAGAGGAACTGTACTGGATATGCACTAGAAGGGAAAGAGGAGCAAGGGGAGCAGCCAACTAGCAGCCGGGAGAGAGGCAAGGCAAAGGTGTTGTAAGTGGGGGTGAGTGGGGGAGCAGCAGAGTAAACTAAGGCTGGAGAGTCTATAGGATGGTAAGATGTGATTGGAAAGTCCTGAAAAGATACAGACAAGCAAGTGGCTGATAGACATAGTGCGGTTTAAGTAAGCAAAGCTGATTTACGTTTTTACATCAGGTCTCTAAGGATTGCCGCTTCACCCATACACAGCAAATCGGTCCCTTTACTTATTTACTTGAGAATAACCCCCCTCTCCATACAGGTGAGGGACTCACCAGCAATTACATAAGAAGCACATATCAGGTCCAATCCCCACCTATATTAGCAACCCCTTTATTCCCCCAAGTCCTTTTATCATGGCACTGTGCTAAGACATATTTACCAATTAAAGCCAGGTTTTCTCTTACATCCATTGACATACACAGCTCTCCGATTCCTGACCATAGGGTTTATAGCACCACCGAAAGGAGTAGTACACTAGGTAGAAAAAGAACACACCACCACCTGTGGGCAGTCTAAGCCGATATAAACCCCCTCTCAGCTATAGGCAATCCAGTTCTGCAGGCTGCTGCTTAAGATTTTTTGATTTTGTTTGCCCCCTTCTTGAGACACTGCTTTGTGACAATGGTCGAGAATCAGAAGATAGGACTGCTCATAGGTGATGCTGTGTTCTTTTTCGTACTCCTGTAGGTGGCACTATAAGCGCTAAGGTCAAGAATCAGTAGAGCTGTGTCCGTCAAACTCAGAGAATGGCATTTTACGGTAACAAAAATCTAGTTTTTAGAGCTATAATTTTTATTTGCTTTGAGCAATAGCACTATATGCTGTTTTATGATAGTTTTAATGTATGCACATGGTTCCACTTTAACAAAATGTTCAGCCAGTAAGCACATTCCCATTACAGATTCAGATTGCCGGGAGGAATCCTTTGCCAGTATATTTGGTGATCTCACCTCATTGAAGTCTCCTACTCTTGGGATGTGATTTTTACGTGTCTTCCCCAGAACGGCACCAGTGTTTGATATCACCACAGCAGTGTTCCACAGTGTATCTGCGTGGCTCTCATCCCTCTCCAGAATTGGGGAAACAATTACCATGTTGTGCTTCTTTGCAAGCTGAAAACATTAATGGACAATGCAGGCATACCATAAGAATCAAGAACATCTGTACAAATGCTAGTGTATATCCCGATATACACTCACCAGCCACTGTATTAGGTACACTGTGCTAGTACCGGGTTAGACCCCGTTTGCCTTCAGAACTGCCTTAATTCTTCGTGGCATAGATTCAGCAAGGTGTTAGAAACATTCCTCAGAGATTCTGGTCCATATTGACATGATAGCATCACGCAGTTACTGCAGATTTGTCACCTGGACATCCATGATGCGAATCTCACATTCCACCACATCCCAAAAGTGTTCTATTGGATGGAGATCTGGTGACCATGGAGGCCATTGGAGTACAGTGAACTCATTGTTATGCTCAAGAAGCAAGTTTGAGATGATTTTAGCTTTGTGACATGGGGCAGTATCCTGCTGGAAGTAGCCATCAGAAGATAGGTACACTGTAGTCATAAAGGGATGGACATGGTCAGCAACAATACTCAGGTAGGCTGTGGCGTTTAAACGATGCTCAGTTGGTACTAAAGGGCCCAAAGTGTACCAAGAGAATATCCCCCACACCATTACACCACCAACCTGAACAGTTGATACAGGGCAGGATGGATCCATGCTTTCATGTTGTTTACACCAAATTCTGACCCTACCATCTGAATGTCGCAGCTGAAATCCAGAGTCATCAGGTCAGGCAACGGTTTTCCAATTTTCTATTCTCCAATTTTGGTGAGCCAGTGTGAATTGCAGACTCGGGTTCCTGTTCTTAGCTGACAGGAGTGGCACCTGGTGTGGTCTTCTGCTGCTGTAGTCCATCTGCTTCAAGGTTCGCCGTGTTGTGCGTTCAGAGATGCTATTCTGTATACTTTGGTTGTGACGAGTAGTTATTTTAGTTACTGCCGCTCACTGGATATTTTCTCTTTTTTGGACCAGTCTCTGTAAACTCTAGAGATGGTTGTGCATGAAAATCCCACTAGATCAGCAGTTCTCAGACCAGCCTGTCTGCCACCAACAACCATGCCATGTTCAAAGTCACTTAAATCCTCTTTCTTCCCCATTCTGATGCTCAGTTTGAACTTCAGCAAGTAGTCTTCACCACATCTAGATGCCTAAATGCATTGAGTTGCTGCCATGTGATTGGCTGATTAGCAATTTGTGCTACCAAGCAATTGAACATGTGTACCTAACAAAGAGGCCAGTGAATGTAGTAGAGTGTGGTTGTTATCCATTATAAGAAATTACTACAATTCATTTTGATTTTAAAGAAAATGTGACATTGTAAATCAAGTGGCTCTGCACTAATTGTAAACATTTCTCAAAGTTGGACATTCACAGAATATTTTGGTAAATTAACACACATGCTATATACTTAAAAGGTGAAAGACATCTTGCATAAAAAAGGAGTTAAATATAAAAGAATTTAGTTGCCAAAATGTGGTATATTATGTCAGTTAGGTATTTCAGAAATCTATACTGCATTTTGGCCACTAGATGGAATTAGTCATAGGAGTGAATCTATTACAGAACATATTGGGAAATTTGAAATGCTGGTGACATTCATCCATTCATTTGTATCTACATCACATACATTACACTTTTTGATTGGCTAATAGGACTTGTGAACATCACAAAAAAGTTGGTCCTTAATTTATGTTCCTGGGAGTTAAAAGTCTAATATCAGCTTCCACCTCATATACTTAAGTGTGGCACCAAATCTAAGGCTCTGTTCACACCAATGCGTTTTTAGTTTTTAGTACTTTGTGCAGAAACACACTACAGTCCATTTAACATGCTTTCCCATGGGACATGTTCACATCTATGCTTTTTTGAGCTGCTGCGTTTTTGGAAAGGGTCAGAGACTTATTTAAAAGCAAAAGGCAGCATTTTTGCTAAATAGAGTTCAATGTAGAAGCTACTGAAATGCATGGTAGTGCATTTTTGCCGCGTTTTGCATTTTTATTCTGCCCAGCAAAAAAAAAAAAAAAAAAAAAAAAAAAAAAGGTGCTGAACAAAATGCAAAATGCAATAAAAACACGTCAAAAACGTGTGTAGAAAAATGCAAATCAAACTATGGAAAGCACTGCAAAAACGGACAAAAAGCAGACTGCATAGGTGTGAACGGAGCCTAAATGTTCAGGTCCTCATTGAACAAACACTTCTAAAGGCTTTAGCAGGCGTAATCTGCTCTATTGTTACCTCCTGGCAGAATTTGGTAGTTGCTCCATTCTCAGCGGATTCAGCAAACTCGGTCCATGGCAGCCTCTCTCTGGTGCAGAAAGCAAATGGCATTACTGTAAGAAAAAAAAAAACAAGCATACACTTGGCTTAGCTAAGTAGGTAATAAAGTAGGGAAATAAGGAATACTACAGTAAAGGCTGCAATTAAAGGGTATGTATAGCCAAAACAGTTTTTTTTTATTTTTAGTTTTGGATAAAGTAGGGGGAGGTTAGAGTGGAACTAAACCCATTGATTTAACGGTTTTAAAAAAGTTACATTCCCGGCATGTTGGGAATGCTAACTGTCACGTTGGATTGTGCTCTCAACCAATCTGTCAAACCATCAAATGGCTGGGGTCATAACTGATCACATGTGCAGCATCATTGCAGTTGAAGATCAAACAGAGGCTAAGATGGCAGCTTTCTTGGCTGAAAAGGATAGGAGGATTTAGTTCCGCTTTAAAACCTCTGTCCGGTATTTGTTACGGTCTGTGTTTTCGCTGGGTATATTTCACCTCTCTGTTTGTCCTATGACTGTGATAGAAAATCCAAACCTTTACAGTTGTCACCAGAGCAAGGCAGGCCATAGATTATGCAATTTTCTTTCCTTCCATTATTGGTGGAATGAAAGAAAAGTGCTCAATTCCCCCATCAACACTGACTGTGTAGAATCCCTTCTACAGCGCTATTGTGTTCTGCCAGCGGTGAGCATTCCCTGCCAGCAGAATACAATTTAGTGTTGCCGGCTATCTCTGCTAAACTGCCCGAATTTTGATCCATGTATGGCCAGCTTAAAAGGTGAAGATAAATATGCCTGTCAACTGCCTTTGAAAAGTTATCTTCATGGATCACTTTTCAGAGGGGCAGCATAGGCTTGCGCACATATGAACGAGCCCTAAGAGCGGAATTTCTTTCAAATTGTACAGATTTCTTCTCACTTCCTGTTGCATCTCTAGGTCAGGATACAAGTGGAATCCTTCAGAGACAAGATAACAAAAAATAAATGGACAGGGGTTTAACCTCAAAAATAGCTTTGGTTATACTTACAGTGGATATAAAAATTCTACACACCCCTGTTAAAATGTCAGGTTTCAGTGATGTAAAAAAATGAGACAAAGATAAATCATTTCAGAACTTTTCCCACCTTTAATTTGACCTATAAACTGTACAACTCAGCTGAACAACAAATTGAAATCTTTTAGGTGGAGGGAAGTAAAAATAAAAAGCTAAAATAATATGGTTGAATAAGTGTGCACACCCTTAAACTAATACTTTGTTGAAGCACCTTTTGATTTGATTCCAGCACTCAGTCTTTTTGGGGATGAGTCTATCAGCATGGCACATCTTGACTTGGCAATATTTGCCCACTCTTCCTTGCAAAAACACTCCAAATCTGTCAGATTGCGAAGGCATCTCCTGTGCACAGCCCTCTTCAGATCACCCCACAAATTTTCGATCAGATTCAGGTCTGGGCTCTGGCTGGGCCATTCCAAACTTTAATCTTCTTCTGGTGAAGCCATTCCTTTGTTGGTTTGGATGTATGCTTTGGATACTTGTCTAGCAAAAACCTGAAGGTTTTGTGCCGATATTGACTGTTATTTGGAATGGTTCATAATTCCCTGTACCTTGACTAAGGCCCCAGTTCCAACTGAAGAAAAACAGCCCCAAAGCATGATTCTCCCACCACCATGCTTCACTGTGGGTATGATGTTCTTTTGGTGATGTGCAGTGTTGTTTTTGTTCCAAACATATCTTTTGGAATTATGGCCAAAAAGCTCAACCTTGGTTCCATCAGACCATAACACATTTTCCCACATGCTTTTGGGAGACTTCAGATGTGTTTTTGCCAAATTTAGCCACGCTTAGATGTTTTTCTTCGTAAGAAAGGCCTTCCTTCTTGCCACTCTACCCCATAGCCCAGACCTGAAGAATACGGGAGATTTTGTCACATGCACTACACAGCCAGTACTTGCCAGATATTCCTGCAGCTCCTTTAATGTTGCTGTAGGCCTCTTGGTAGCCTCCCAGACCAGTTTTCTTCTTGTCTTTTCTTCAATTTTGGAAGGACGTCCAGTTCTTGGTAATGTGACTGTTGTGCCATATTTTCTCCACTTTATGATGGCTGTCTTCACTGTGTTCCATGGTATATCTAATGCCTTAAAAATTCTTTTGTACCCTTCTCCTTACTGATACCTTTTAACAATGAGATCCCTCTGATGCTTTGGAAGCTCTCTGTGGACCATGGCTTTTGCTGTAGGATGCAACTAAGAAAAGTTTAGGAGAGACCTACTAGAACAGCTGAACTTTATTTGGGGTTAATCAGAGGCACATTAAATGATGGCAGGTGTGTACTGACTCCTATTTAACATGATTTTGAATGTGATTGCTTAATTTTGAACACAGCTACATCCCCAGTTATAAGAGGGTGTGCACACTTATGCAACCACATTATTTTTTAGTTTTTTAGGTTTACTCCCCCCCTGTAAAAGATTTCGGTTTGTTTTTTAATTGCGTTGTACAGTTTATAGGTTACATTAAAGATGGAAAAAGTTCTGAAATGATTTAGCTTTGTCTCATTTTTTTACATCAAAGAAACATGATATGTTACCAGTGGTGTATAGATGTTTTATATTCACTGTACACTTTAAACCCTCCAGAACAAAACATTCTTAGAATGTGCCATTAAATTGATTATGAATCCCTTCCCAAATTAGTTTTTCAAATTTATGTACAGTTTGCTTTTTGGAGCAGTGTACCAGCACAGCTCACTGGCTCTCTCTGCCTACTTCTGGATCATGCACCATGGCTGTTTGCTGTCATCGCTACAGGTCTACAAGCTTTGCAGAAGGAGTGTGAGACCTAGAGTAACATATCTGCTCCTACAGTGACTTACATGAATGAGCCTTGTCACATTATTATTAATTAATAATAATAATAATAATATTATTATTATTATTATTATTATTATTATTAATAATAATATACAGGATTTATATAGCACCAACAGTTTGCGCAGCTGTAGCTCCAAGGAAGGCAGATCAACAGGGAAAAATGTCTGCCACCATGAGCCCTTATACAGTTTTTGTTAAATCCCCTGACTACACCAAAACAGAATCCTCCGCCTGTCCTTGAACCTGAGCTGTATTGACAGGGAGGTCAGGTCATCCTGTTACAGTATAACAACGTGTTACACATTTACTTCGCTAACACTTGGCTACCTCTAACCTGGATAATTCAAATTCTCTTTTCATGGGTTGGCTTTCCTCTTGTCAGTAAGAGATAAAAAACAGAATGCACAGAGTTGATAAAGGTTGGGATGTGAAACGCACACATATATAAACTTTGAATCCAGTAACCTTGACCACAGCCTGCCCGTATGTATTTCTGTGCATGCGGATCAAATACAGGATGTTTGCCAACATTAGTGATTGATAGGAATTGATCTAAGATCACCTATTTCTCTGTTATATAATTTGTAAACAGTGATTCGGTGCAGGGACCTGCCCTACCTGTTGGGATTTGGATTTCCTTATTTATAAAATGTAGGGGCTCTTTGGTTCCACATATTTTATTATAATTTTAAAACATGCACAGCAATCTACCTGATTGCGTCCAAATTGTAAATATGCATACTAATAATATGCCATTGGATGACTCATTAGTGTGTATTTACTAAAGACAAATAGTCTGTGCACTTTGCAAGTGCAGTTGCACTCATTTTCTTTAGTAAATGCGGTAAAGCTTCACTTTGTAAAGAATACCCAATCAGGTTCAAAGAAAATATAGAAAGCATTTTTGCTTGCACATGACTAGGTGATGGAAATCAACAGATCTTTACCACATACACTAAGCTCTGGGGAAAGAAGTGCAATTGCACTTGCAAAATGCACAGTCTATTAGCCTTTAGTAAATCCACACCATGGTTTTAGGAGCCTCCTGATGTTTCTTAATTAGCCTGTAATATTCCTTCGTTACCAGGCCTTTTTCAGTTCTCAGTGCTGTGATTGTTTAACTGACAATTGCTTGGGCATGCAACACTGTACCCAAAATCATTTTTGAGACAGATAGAGTTTTGGGTTTTATTAAATCTCCACTGGAATTTTTTATTTTTAATACATAAAAGGAAAAAAAAAAACAGTTTCTCCTTTCAGCTAAAAAACACATCAAATAATAATGACAAGAGGTACGAACACCCCGAAAACAACCCTTTTTTGGAAAGTAGACACCTCAAGGTGATCTTATTTTTTGCCACAATTTTTGGAAGTAAAGAAACATGCTGGTATTGTGGTGGTTAAAATATAGACCTTGGTAATGGTGAATTAGATACATTGCAACATTAATGTACAGATCATACACAGAGGGAGGAGGAAGTGAAGGTGTTAATGTACAGATCACATACAATGAGAGGATGTAGATGAAGCGTTAATGTGCAGGATAAGAGTTAAGATACAGGTCCCATAGAGAGACTGAAGCAGAGATGTACAGGGGAGGAGGGTGGTAAAGGGGTTAAACAGACCCCCCCCCCACAGTTCATTAAAACCTCTCACCATGAATCTGATACAATCCCTTCCTTGATTTCCCTTCACTGATAAATTATCACATCCTCCATTTTTAGAAGGGGGTAGTTCTCAAATGTAAACACCAAAGTTCTTACATTTGTGATTGCAGTATTTGGTCATTACAGCCATCACAAGGTACAGAGCTGCTTGGATCAGCTCTGTACATTGTGTATGTGATCTAAGCTATCCAGTGACAGCTCTGATCACTGCCATTCAAGGATGCGCTGGCTGCTTGTGTGTGTTTTCTGATAAGTTGGTTATAAACGGCTCTCCAGAAACACAGGTCAACCACTCTGCCATAAAACATATGGCGATAGTGAAGTGGTTAAGGTAAATTTAACTGGGTAGTTCAAACTGAGAAAATTCCGAAGGTTATGAAAATATTCATAAGCTACATTGTTACATCTAGTTTTAACTGTATGTAATTAGATCTAGAGATATAGGCTGCTAAAATAATTTGCCTAGCTACCTTATCCACCTTCATGCTTCCTGAGTTTCTTGTTGCTTCTTTAATGTGGGAGTGGCCTCAAACTAAAAAGGGAGACTTGGGAAGCTAAGGCAGAACATACAATAGTCATTTTTTTTTCTGGCTGAATGAAAAAAAATCACCCAAATCCCCATCCAAACATTGAACATGGATGGGGGAATCGCTCCCAATGAGCTATTGTATTCTGATAGCAGGAAGACTTTCCTGCCATCAGAATAGACTGATCAATCAGGAAAAACATGACAAGGTGGTTGTACAGCAGGCAATTGGTGGATCGACTTCTGTACAACCAGCCTGTCCATACATGGATTGAAATTCAGCAGGTCCTTGCTGAACTGGCCGAACTTTGATCCATGTATGATTGGCCTAAGAGTTGGGGCAAGATTGACTAATTCAGGAAATGTGGAAATGGCATGCCACTTCAAATCTGTCTCCAATTCTATGGATTGCTATGTTTTCATCACTTATATCTTATAAATTGCATATGTTTGTGACAGGTATACTTTAACTGCCATTTTTGTACATTATGGGTAGACTCACCCCATGCTTCCTGGAAACAGACAATGTTCACATCACACATTGCCGCTACCTCCACAATCTCCGCGATACGTCTGTGAAGGGCATTAATCTGTTTGAACAATAGAACATGAGTGAGGTATATGGCTTCCAACCAGTGTCTCTTTGGTAGCAATACTAAGCCTGGATTTCACTCATGTATCCAACTATGGCAATGCATTCCCAGCCTTACATTCTTCACAAATCTTTTAAGCTGTAATTTTCAGATCACTTTGTATATTACAAATGTACTGTGTGGTTAGCAGATATCGCATATTCACACATCTAGGCTTGGCGTAAACACCAGAGTTTATTAGGCTATGACATGCATCACCAACATTGCATACGGCACTGAGAGACATCAAAGATTTAAGAGGAAAAGTAGTGCTTCCTCTTTCTAAATATATCTTGTGTGACATTGACATACAGTAACAGATTTCTTTTCTCAGGGTATAATTGCTAAAGCATCGCATACAACAAAGGGCTTACCAGCTTAAATATCCAAATAGCTTTTTGCCTTTTTATTACACACACTAATATATATATAATATAATATATATATATATATATATATATATATATATATATATAGAGTGAGGAACAGACGTATTTGAACACCCTGCGATTTTGCAAGTTCTCCCACTTAGAAATCATGGAGGGGTCTGAAATTCACATTGTAGGTGCATTCCCACTCCGAGACAGAATTAAAAAAAAAAAAAAAATTCAGGAAATCACATTGTGTGATTTTTAAAGACTTTATTTGTCTCGCACTGCTGAATACAAGTATTTGATCACCTGAGAAAATCAGTGTTAATATTTGGTACAGAAGCCTTTGTTTGCAATTATAGAGGTCAAACGTTTCCTGTAGTTCTTGACCAGGTTTGCACACACTGCAACAGGGATTTTGGCCCACTCCTCCACACAGATCTCCTCTAAATCTGTCAGGTTTCGGGGCTGTCGCTGAGCAAAACGGAGTTTCAGCTCCCTCCAAAGATGTTCTATTGGATTTAGGTCTGGAGACTGGCTAGGCCACTCCAGAACCTTGATATGCTTCTTACGGAGCCACTCCTTGGTTATCCTGGCTGTGTGCTTCAGGTCGTTGTCATGTTGGAAGACCCAGCCACGATCCATCTTCAATGCTCTGACTGAGGGAAGGAGGTTGTTGCTCAAAATCTCACAATAAATGGCCCCATTCATCCTCTCCTTAATACAGTGCAGTTGTCCTGTCCGCTTCGCAGAAAAGCACCCCCATAACATGATGTTACCACCCCCATGCTTCACAGTAGGGATAGTGTTCTTGGGATGCAACTCATCCTTCTTTTTCCTCCAAACACGACGAGTAAAGTTTAGACCAAAAAGTTCTACTTTGGTCTCATCTGACCACATGACTTTCTCCCATGCCTCCTATGGATCATCCAGATGGTCATTGGCAAACGTCAGACGGGCCTGGACATGTGATGACTTGAGCAGGGGAACCTTCCGTGCAATGCATGATTTGAAACCATGAAGGCGTAGTGTTCTACCGACAGTGACCTTTGAAACTGTGGTCCCAACTCTCTTCATGTCATTGACCAGCTCCTCCCTTGTAGTTCTAGGCTGATTCCTCACCTTTCTTATTATCAGTGATACCCCACAAGGTGAGATGTTGCATGGAGCCCCAGTCCGAGGGAGACTGACAGTTGTCTTTAGAGTCTTCCATCCTCTAACAATTGCTCCAACAGTTGATCTATTTTCACCAAGCTGCTTGGCAATTGCCCCGTAGCCCTTTCCAGCCTTGAGGAGGTCCACAATTTTGTCTCTGGTGTCTCTGGTTTGACAGCTCTTTGGTCTTGCCCATGGTAGTAGTTGGCGTCTGACTGACTGTGGGGTGGACAGGTGTCTTTAAAGAGCTCAGACAGGTGCTACTAAGTTAGATTAATGAGTGAAGTAGAGGTGCACTTTTTAAAGGCACAGTAAACAGGTCTTTGAGAGCCAGAATTCTTGCTGTTTCTTAGGTGTTCAAATACTTATGTTCAGCAATGCAAGACAAATAAATTCTTTAAAAATCATACAGTGTGATTTCCTGAATTTTTTTTTTTAATTCTGTCTCTCAGAGTGGGAATGCACCTACAATGTGAATTTCAGACCCCTCCATGATTTCTAAGTGGGAGAACTTGCAAAATCGCAGGGTGTTCAAATACTTCTGTTCCTCACTGTATATATAGATATATACGTATTTGATTCCCTGCATGTTTGCCCACTCACAAAGAAATGATCAGTCTAAAAATCGAATGGTGTATTGTAACACTGAGAGACAGAATAGCAACAAAAAAATTCAAAAGAAATGCATTTCTAACAAATTATGCACTGATTTGCATGTTCATGCGGGAAATAAGTATTTGATCCCCTATAATTCAGTAGAATTTCTGGCTACCATGTGTCTTTCATACAGGTAACAAGCTGAGATTAGAAGCAGTCTCTTAAAGGGAGTGCTGCTAATATAATTTTGTGTCAGTGATCATGAGAACAGTGATGAATCATCAAAGAACTACATGTGATGATCTTGTCAATGATCTCCAGGCAGCTGGGACCACAGTCACCAAGAAAATTTGTAACACACTACGCTGACTAGGAATGAAATCCTGCAGTGCCCGCAAGGCCCCTCTGCTCAAGAAAGCACACGTCCAGGCCCATCTGAAGTTTGCCACTGAACACCTGAATGATGCAGAGGAGGACTGGTTGAAAGTGTTGTGGTCAGATGAGACCAAAATCAAGCTCTTTTGTATCAACTCAACTCGCCGTGTTTGGAGGAGGAGGAATGCTGCTTATGACCCCAAGAACACCATCCCAACTGTCAAACATGGTGGTGGAAACATTCTGCTTTGGAGGTGTTTTTTCTGCTAAGGGGACAGGACAACTGCACCACATCAAAGGGACGATGGACGGGGCAATGTACCGTCAAATCTTGGGTGAGAACCTTCTTCCCTCAGCCAGGGCATTGAAAATGGGTCATGGATGGGTGTTCCAGCATGACAATGACCCAAAACACACAACCAAGGCAACAAAGGGGTGGCTCAAGAAGAGGCACATTAAGGTCCTGGAGTGACCTAGCCAGTCTCCAGACCTTAATCTGACTGAAGATCTGTGGAGGGAGCTGAAAGTTTGAGTTGCCAAACGTCAGCCACCAAACCTCAATGACTTGGAGAGGATCTGCCAAGAGGAGTGGGCCAAAATCCCTCCTAAGATGTGTGCAAACCTGGTGGCCAACTACAGGAAACGTCTGAGGTCAGAGGAGAATGGGCAGACTGGTTTGAAAAGATAGAAAGGCAACAGTATCTCATATAAATAACCACTAGTTACAACCTGGGTATGCAGAATACCATCTCTGAATGCACAACACGTCGAACCTTGAAGCACATGGGCTACAGCAGCAGAAAGACCACACCGGGTAGCAAGGTGCACCTAATAAAGTGGCCGGTGACTGTATATATATATATATATATATATTTTTTTTTTTTTTCATATACACACACATATTAATATTTCATTGTGGGGTCTAGATCAGGTCAAGAGGAGCCTAATCCACCCTCTCGAATCCATCATCAACAGATCACTTAGGGTAGTGAACTATATTACAATTTGTTAGATTTCTACTCCAGTGATCTGATGCAGCAGACCACCTCTGCCCTGCTCAAAGATGGTTGTTGGAGCTTACAATAAATCTCAGCAGAATAATCACTATAAAAACAATCCAGAAACATTTTTTATACTGTGCTATGGAGCAATCTGTAGCAGAATCAGAAACCCAGAATCTCATGGGTTCAGCTCCTGAACTGGTTACTGGACCCCAGTTCCCACTACTGGTCAGCTATTCCAGTCTAAACACCCCCCTTCCCCCACAGGACTCACCACAGTGCTGAAATCAAGCACAGTTTTAAAATAGCTACTGCAGCATAGCACAGATTTAAAATGGCTGTTAACCCCTTCTTCCTGCACAGTCTCAGTGGCCCTTTACCTGAATCTTTAAGCCAGGGGCCAGATTGACTTCCGGATCATGTGATCACTGTGATTGGCTGTCAGAGTAGTCACATAATTGGGAGCCTGTCTCACAGACTCCTAATCATAATCAGAGATCAGGAATCGTCTGGGATAGCTCAGCCACTGTGCTGGGAGTATGTGGTAAGCACGCTCTCAGCAGAGAAACCTCAGCCACGATGGACACATATAAGTGTGTCCCCACACATATTCTCCCCACACATTTGCGATCTGTGGTCACCAAGCGCACAACCACAAAATTACTGCTGTATGTTTATGAACAGCAGAATGGGGGCATGTCAGTAGGAGACACAAGCCTTGGCCATTGGAGGACAGGTAGGCTTTGCTTCAAGCACAGCCAGAAAACTGACCTTCCTGGGATGAATGTGCTCTCATGACTAGTGTGGTCAATACGAAAGCAGGGGGACTGGCAGGATCCCCAGGTATTGCACACAAAGGAAGCAATGCAAAGAGAACAGGATACTTTTTAACACAAGTACAACACTGTGACCCCATTGGATAACAGTGTGCCTCCAAGCGCCGAGGCTAAAAGTCTAGAGATCCACTGCATGCTGGTACCTGCATCTAAGGTGCTCATCCAGGCCCACAGTGTGAAGCTAAATGTAAGAGATGTCGCACTCCTGACAGCCCAAGTGTTGCATTAAAGTGGAACGATATTCACCTTTTATCCAGCAATGTGATGTCCTGGAGCTCTTCACCGGCTGCTGACATCTTCAGGCGGCTGACTTCCAGGTCTCGATCACCGCTCGCTTTCATTAGCTGGGCAGGGATGACGTCACTGCCGCACATGTGGGGGAGTGCAGTCAGATTCAGCATTGTCGAATTTGTACAGTGAGTTGCGCATGCACAGCTCACTGTACAGTGGTGAATAGGCAGGTAGGCAACTTTAATCCAGAAGAGACAAAGCATGTCTTCTCTGCATTAAAAATCCTGTCTGTCTGTTCGCCTAAACTTCCACTTTAAGTCCAAAAGCAGCCTGGGCTCCAACCATGCCAAGGCCACGGACACATTTCGCCCTGCCTACAGGGCTTAGCTATAGAGGTAGAATCATGGAGCAAGAGCAGGATTTTAATGCATCATTGGTTTGGTTATCAGCAGCTCATAATGCAAAAATATCCAGCTCTTGCTCCACAATGTTACCTCTATGACTAAACCCTATGGGTGGGGAAATGCGTCAGAGGGAGTAGCTTGGGGTGGAGCCCAGGCTGAGACTGCTTTGGAGTTAATGTAACACGCAGTCTGTCAAGAGTGCGGCACCTTTTACATTTAGCTTTACATGGTACAACAGACATATCAGGAATATGAAATATTGGGGTGACATATACTTTAAAAGGCAGGATAACATGACTTTATTATAAGACAACATTATCTATTTTAATAAAAAGTGGGTGGATGTGTTGCGATATAAACTGCATTTTGTAAACAATATTTTGGAAGCTATTGCTGGCCATACATGGTTTGAATTATTTCAAACGATTTTTCGTCCAACAAATGTTGCAAAGCTGACGTTAGTTCTGTTCACCTCGTATTCAGCAGGGGATCTGCTTACCGATCCCCTGCTGAATGCAGCTGACAAAGCCCATGTGAAGGGCCCTTGAGGTTGTGGTAAGGGCTAAGTAAAATCTTGGGTTCAAATTCAAAAGGCCTGGGACATTAGTATCTGATCTATTTCTAGTGTGAAAAGCTCCACACTGAAAATGAACATGCCTGTATATGTATCACAGTGATGCGTTTTAGTTATGTGTTGGCTGTTAGCAGGGAGGGGAGTTGGTGCCTGAGGAAAGTTCAATGTTCACTATACTGCCAAGATTATGAAAAAACCCCCAGCTCATTTCAGCATGGAGTTAACTTTTCAACCCTTCTTTTCTTGTAACATTTCTCAACCTAACGGTAACATCACATAAAGGAGCTTAATAAAATAGTAGGACTTGGTATCATCACATAAAGTAGATTAATATAATTGCTAAACCTTATTGGTAGGAAACCAGAGAACCCAGAGGGAACCTAAGCAAGCACAGGGAGAAAACTGGGACTTGAACATAGGACCCCAGAGAAAAGGGAGGGGGTTCCTGAAATACACATGCAAAGGGAGGACAGTCCTGAAGGATACATGCAAAGGGAGTAGGGGTCCTGAAGGACACGCAAAAAAGAAGGAGTGGGGGGTCCTGAAGGACACAAGCAAAGGGAGGGGGGTCCTGAAAGATACATGCAAAGGAAGGCAGGCCCTGGAGGACACATGCAAAGTGTGAAAGAGGTCCTGAAGGTCACATGCAAATGAAGGGGGCTCCTGATGGATACAAGCAATTGGAGTAGGGACATAAGGGATACATGCAAAGGGAAGAAGGAGGGGGTCCCTGAAGGATACATGCAAAGAGAAGGCGGACTGGGGTCCTGAAGAAAACATGCAATCAAAGTTCGCATGTCCTTTAACCTGCAAACTACCAGTAAATGCGAACCTGTGCCCAGGCAAACGTTTGCCGCATGACAGTGTAGGCACCTGTTGCTAGTGATAGGCATCCTAACTGGTCCAGAGTAGGTGAAGAGAGGAAAAAAAAAGAATTTCCCCAGATTTCCTATCCTGGAACAATGTTGTCTTTGGACAGGAGGAGAGAGAAAACCTTCTAAATTTGGCCCAAAAGGCATCAGCACAAAACTTAGCAGTTCCATGCCAAGGCTTTGGCACTAAAAGCCACAGATCTGATATATTTGATTAACATACCTGTTCTGCCACTGGACTTGTAGTTGGCAACTGGATTTTATTCTGGATCAGTCCCACACGAACAGTTCGAGGCCTTCGCAGTTGTTCTAAAGCAGCTTCAAAGCCATATCCTTTCAATTCAAAATTCCCCTGTGATGCAGCATTGACAGCACAGCTTGGAAGATCCAGGTTCCTAGGAGATCAATGGGACTGTCACTGATTTTTAGTATTAATGCAAGCCCACAAATATTGTATAAACTTGTAATCTGCACACAATGATACACTCACTAATCAAATCGAGTTGGTATAAAGTCTGAGTTACCAGCATTGGTGTAACAATAGCCATATCATCAGCCACGTGGCTGCTGTGGGGCTTGGCGGTGGAAAATCAGGACCCATTAGAAAGGCTCTTAAGGCAATTTAAACAGAAAATCTATGTATGTGAAGATACTACAAATGCATGTGATACTCAGCTGTACATCATGAAGGATTGCAGATGTTGCTGTTTCGCAAATTCAAGACGCTGATCTTGTACCCCCTGTGACATTTGAAATTTGTCAAGAGGTCCCACTGTCACCCCCTTGTATAAGAAGAGTCGACTGCAGTAATACAAACCTAGCAAAATGGATTTCTCCATCCACTTTCTGACTTGTGTGGATGGAGAAATATGTTAGGGGGAGACGTTGGACCTTTCAACAGTTTTTTTTTTTTTGGCCCGATAGCTAAACGAAAAAGATCAAACAGTCTTTATCCAGCTTTAGTATGTGTAGATTTGGAGGCCTTTCCCTCAGAGCCTCTGGTCATCCCAGCCAGCACTGAAACTAACCATATATGCCTCATGCAGTTTAAAGTTTGTATTAGGCTTATAGAGTGTGTGCAGGAGTACTAAAGTGCCACAATTATGTTTTGATAAAATATTGTAATGTTTATTATTACTGCTACTACAAACGTTTGTTTGTTTGTTTTTTACTGACTACTACACTACCTCCTTCAGCATTTGCTGTGATGGTGAAAGAAGTAGCATGGAAAATGACTGGTAAGGCCTCTTATACATGGGCTTAGTTTAAGTTCATACAGGCTTTGGACTTTAAAGTAGCACATAATGTGCATGAATGTGTCTAAAGTTTTAATGTGCCTTTCTGACTTGTTGCACAGGCAACCAAAGTGCGTCAATAGATGCTCCTCAAACACTCTGAGATTTTTTTTTTTTTTTTTTTAAGGCCCCTTTCACATGGGCATTCCAGTTTTTCATCAGTTCAGTTAGATTTTTGCCAAGCAAAAAAGGATCAGTTTACATCAGTTTTTTCATCCATTTACATCTGGTTTATGTACGTTTACATCTGTTTTTCAGCCGATTACATCTGTTTTTTCGTCCGTTTACATCAGTTTTTCATCTGTTTACATCCATTTTTTGTCTGTTCTGTTTTTTTTTTTACGGAAGAAAAATAGGATTTTCTTCCATTCAAGAAAAGGGATGTTAACGGATACAGACATTAATGATCATCCATTTACATCCGCTAGTCCATAGAAATACATGGGTGTCCAGTTTTCATCCATAAACGGACAGATGAAAAAAAACGGATATACAGAACGCCCATGTGAAAGAGGCCTATTGCGAAGCAATGGTAATTCAGTTGTGTATACACCTCCACCTGTTCTTTGTTTTATCACATTTTAGGTGGTGTTGAAAGGTGGCTGGGAAGCAAAAAAAAAAAAAAAATGAGTCAACCACTACTGCCTATTTTCAATGCTTGTATGCACCAGAAATACACAAGTTATTTTTTCTTTTTTAATGCGAAGCAATGCTAATGCGGCTGTGCATGCATCTCCGCTTGCTCCTTGTTTTATCAAATTTTAAGTGGTGTTGATAGGTGGCTGGGAGGAAAAATAAATGAGTCAACTGCCTATTTTCAACACCTGTGTGCACCAGGAATATACGAGTTTTAGCCACATTTTTAATGCTCCTGTACTGCCTACATACCAGTTTACATCCGCTAATCCATAGAAATACGTGGGTGTCCAGTTTTCATCCATAAACGGACAGATGAAAAACGGACATATGGAACGCCCATGTAAAAGAGGCCTAATGCGAAGCAATGCTAATGCGGTTGTGCATACACCTCCACCTGTTCCTTGTTTTATCAAATTTTAGGTTGTATTAATATGTGGCTGGGAAGCAAAAAAAAAAAATTAGTCAACCGCTAATTTTCAATGCCTGTGTGCACCAGAAATACACGAGTTTTAGCCACATTTTTAATGCTCCTGTACTACCTACCAATGCACTAAGTAATTAGAACAATGTCAGACAGACAAAACAGTATACAGCAGCACATCAGCGTCACAATGGGGTTAATTTACTAAAGGCAAATAGGCTGTGCACTACAAGTACACTTGGAAGAGCACTGCAAGTGCACTGAAAGCGCAGTTGCTCTAGATCTGAGGGGAACATGCAAGGAAAATAAAAAAACTGAATTTTTGCTTACACATGATTGGATGAAATAAATCATCAGAGCTTTGCCTCATTTTAGAGCTTCCCCTTGGATCTAAAGAAACTACACTTTCAGCCGATTTGCCTTTAGTAAGCCCTGGTTTATTAAAAATATGTGGCCATGCAGGCCGTGTTTTGCGCAGAAACAAGAGCCCATTTATTTGAACAGACTCCAGTGACACGCAGGGAAGAAGTCCCTGCATTTCTTTGGAAAACGCAGCCCACACGGGAACCTCGGTTCCCAGTACGGTTGAGTTTTCCGGTACGGGTGGCGTGCCATTAGAATTAATGGCACCCGCCCGCGGGTCCGCATTCCTATGTGCGGGTGCTGCAGCTGCAGGGATTTTCGTGCGGATCCACAGCGGCACCACCAGCACAAATGTGAACCTAGCCTTAATCAACCCCTTTGTGTTTTCACAAAATTTTTAGAGCATGGCACGTTCTCTAGACTTTGCCACAACTTGACACCTCCATTGAATTCCACTGCAGCATGCCAAACACACACAGATAGCTTTTTGGTGTGATAAGTGTGCATTCTTACACATTCAGTTCACTTACCCTTATTTATTTCATGTATTTATTTTTATTTATTTATTTATTTCAGGTACTTATATAGTGCTGTCAATTTATGCAGCACTTTACATATATATTGTACATTCACATCAGTCCCTAACCTTCAAGGGGCGTACAATCTAAGGTCCCTAACTCACATTCATACATACATATACTAGGGACAATTTAGACAGGAGCCAATTAACCTACCAGCATGGCTTTGGAGTGTGGGAGGAAACCGGAGTACCTTGAGGAAACCTACACAGGCACAGGGAGAACATGCAAACTCCAGGCAGGTCGTGCTGCGAACCGACATCCCTAGTGCTGCTAGGGTTGTGAAGAAAAACTTAAAAACCAGAGATTTCCTGGGCAGTACCATCGCCAAATGCGCCCCTTTCCATTGAGTGGGGCAACTCCATATTCACCCTTCTACCATGTGTAAAGCATGTGGTTGTAGCGTGGTGGAGCAGGCTTTTAAGAATTAAAGCAACAGTAAACCGCATTAAAAAACAAACAGAAAAAAAACCACTCCCTGCAAGGCAATGGCATAATGTGATGGTATGCATCGCATACCAAAACATTATGTGAAACTTGCCTTAAAATGAAGCTCTCCAGTGGCATGCTGTCCCCACTGTAAAGGCTTCCATCTTCATCTGTTCTTTGGGTTCGTGAGCTCCGGCTATCTGTCTGGCTAAGATGCGATGACGCGCAGGAGTCGCGGGCCACATCGCAGTGCTCTATAGGAACAGCACGGGTATGCCGTTCTTTCAGGGTACATGCGACAGCTAAAAAAAACCCTCAATATCTCCTATATGGTGCATGTTTAGAAGATATTCATTTTACTTACAGATAAGCTTTATTATAAGCTTACCTTTAGGTACAAATGAACAAAGTAGGTTTACTACCACTTTATAACAGGTGATCAGGAGGCAAAATATCGCCTTCCAGCCACCTGTCAACTACCCTCTGAAATGTGAGACACCACAGTCCACCTTTCAGAGGGACTGCAAGGGCTTTCACACTCCTTCTGCTGTGTTTTAGCTTTACAATGGTAACATAACTGGAGCTGGGGGGTATGGAAAATCTTTAATCTGCACTCCTGCCCTCCTCTTCCCTGACGGCTTCTATCCACAGCAGTGAACCTGAGTAATGTAGGGGCTAACCTGTGCCTCTCCTGCTACCTGTCCTTGACTTTGACTTTATGTGAACCTCTCCCAATAAAACAATTATTTGGACCTGGCTTCTTCCCCTTTCCCACAATTAGATTAAAAAGAACATACATGCATATATATATATATATATATATATATATATTTTTTTTTTTATTTTTTTTCTGTTCTTCCTTTTTTCTAGCATAGATGAAAGTGACCTTGCACTCCTGGTGCTGGTATGCACTGCCTGATTGCCATGCGTTGGGAATGTGTACGCAAATGCACCTGTTGTAAATGAACTCAAAGAGGAACTTCAATCTCTAGTAATGCTGGCACCTCCACTGCTCCCATCCTAGAAAATACAGCACGTGTGCAGTCTTCAGGGCCTCGCAGGCACCTAAGGCCCCTTTCAGACGGGGCGAACGCGGTCAAGCAGATCTGCCTGCGCAGTGGGGGATCTCTCTGCTGACCCCTGCTGAGCAGACGGATGACAGGTCTGTGTCCGCTCCGCTATGCAGAGTGGACACAGACAGCCCGCTGTTCTCTAAGAGACGGTCAGATGGAAAAGGACTGTTTGTTTCCATCCAACTGTCATCCGATACGATCCACCAGGCGGATGGGGAACAGATCCCCATCCATCTGTTTTAGCGTACAAGATCAGATCAGATGCCGATGGGTAACAGCAGACACATGTCTGATGACACCTACCACTCCATAGAGAGCTATAAATCATCTGATCGGGTCCGTCTGAAAAACTGACAGGCAGACCCGATCAGACCATGCATGTTCTCCCTGTGCCAGCATGGGTTTTCTCCGGGGACTCCGGTTTCCTCCCACACTCCAAAAACATGCTGGTAGGTTCATTGGATCCTGTCTGAATTGGCTCTAGTATGTGTATATATGAATGTAAGCTGGGAGACCTTAGATTGTATGCCCCTTGAGGGCTAGGGACTGATTGAATGTACAATATATGTAAAAATCTACGTAAATTGATGGCGCTATATAGTGTA